TTTGAGACCTGCCGATCGTAAAACTGCATGATGCCACATCGGCGTCTTTGGGTCATGAACTCTTTCGCAAACGGAGGTGTGGAATATTAATGATCATAAAAACAAAATTCTTTTTTTTTCCGACTGAGCTTAAACTTGCATATCGGCTAAGCATGAATACCAAATTTTACAATCGGCAGTGTTATTTTGGAGATCGGGGGGGGGGGGTGTCCGCCCCGCTCACTGGCTGTAAGATGAAAACATAATATATCCAGCTCTTTTATAAATAGGCTTCTTGTTTACATTGTTTTCGTTTGAGTGAGTTTTGGCTTTTGTGTTCTTTTTTATAATTTCTATTTAATTTTTTTTTGAAAGTTTGAGGGTATGTGTTTACCTTGTTTTAGTAAGAAAAGTATAGCAATACAAGAGTACTTTGTTTATTTGCCTTCACCGATTGCTTTTGAGCTAGTCTAAAGTGCCTTTTCAGTATAGGCTTATTATGGCTATTAATTAATTGTTTGTTTTTTATTGTTTCGTTTTCTGTGTTTTCCTTTTTCCCATACATTTTTTTTTCGAATAGAACTAAATGTTGCATTGAAAATTGACTTGAAAGAATGGTGTTCACACACAAACTCCGAATGGAAGGGGAAAATCCTTGGGCTTATTTTTGTCTGCGCTTGCAGCGCATTGATAATTGCAGACCCGCAATTAGTACGTACATGGTGACCCGCCCCATCAATATCCCGACTATGCATAATCATCCTCTCTACTAGCCTCGGTTGCCATGGTAAACGTATCGCAAACCGCCGTCCTTCAACCTGTTGTGAATAAGAGGGAATAGTTGTCCGTATGGGTAGTTAAAGCAGGCTAGCAAAGGTTCTTTGATGCAATCTTCGCAATTCGTTGTAATTGTCTGTAACTTTCCCCTCAATACATCGACCTTATCGTTCCGTTGCTCATGATATTGCGCTAAAATTACTCATCACGTAGACTTGACTCGAGCCGCATAGTGCAATCTTGGACTGGTACATTTTGCGCGCTGTCCACTCCTAGCATGAAACCACACAGATATACGCATATAAAAATATGTACACTAGACACTTTTGCACAGCAGCAATCGAGAGAACAGTAAAAGATTACATAGTGTGAAAAATGTTCAATTTGAAATGTCTGTAAAGCAAGGGCGGCTCCACAACACAATTTTTAGGGGGGGCCAAAAAAATATTCCCCACCCCAAAAAAAAAAAAAAATTGGTCCAAAAATAGACGTGGAGTTCGGGGCCCGCTTTAAAAAAATGCAATTTAGATGCTCTGTGGTGCTATCTGAGGCAATTTCTGACCACTTTAACCAATTTTTATGCGAGCAAAAGATGGTGGTGGGGTTTTTTGCGACGTCACTTAAAAAAGAAAAGTTGGACTGTTTTTTCTTAAGGGGGCATGGCCCCGTCCCCCCCCCCCCCCCCCGCCCCTCGGATCCGCCCTTGCTGTAAAGACGGTAAGAGATACATGTACATCATCAACTGCTTCTCATTGCTCTACCAAATGCTGCTGGTGACGACTAATCTCTTTTGATACAGAAATGATACAAGCGTTATTGCAAGGTATTGCGCCATGTACGTGGGGAGAAGTCGTGCGTCATGCGGAATGATATATACAATGAGATATCAAAGAAATTAGTCGTCGTCAATGGACGAACGAAGGAATGCCGTTATCTCAGTGATTGACCAAGAATATTATTGCACTACAGCGCCTTTATAAGTGCAGAACAATAACTAATCTACGTCATGTGAAGGATACGGGCGAACGGTAATTACACATATCCATATAATTATCTATAGATAATATTGATAAGGACTGCATAACGTTCGCAAGACATTCGCACATAAAATATTGAATTCAACCCTAAAACATCCGGTGCGTAATCCGCCATGCGCATGCGTTTCTCTAAATGTCGTCGCCGTGTAGAATTATATCAGTGTCAGGCTGTCTCCAGTTTTCGACGGTCGTCTTATGACGCATATTTTTCTCTGTTTGTTCGTTTTTTAAATTCCGACTTAACCATTTTCATGCGGGCGCTATTCATCTCTGGGAGTGTTCGAGCAGCTTCCACGTGAAAACACGGGGTTTACACTCAATGAAGCCACGAATGAGGCTAATCGAACGCTGCTGATGTGTTTTTGCCCGACACTGGCAGGGAAAATTAAAGTCAAAGGTTGTCACACAGAGGGACTTTAAAAATGTAAACAAACAAGGAACTCTGTCGACTGCTCCGCTGGTAAAATGGAATTAGTTTTATTTATTGCAACCAGAATGGATAACCGCTGGAAATGGAATATAATTATGCTCTAAATTATCATGTATATCCAATATTGTTATTTCTCTGTCTTGGATTCTTTTGATTGTGATGTAAAAATCACAAAACAAACGGAAGTAAACACAACAATCATGACAATCGAACGTCAACTCACATGCATGTCACGTGCTCGTAACAACTTATCATCTGCTAGTTCGCTGCTCCCACTCATGGTGTGAAAACATGATGAAACAAGTCAGGTGTGTTTACAAACACAAATGCCCCGCAACCGTGACTGTTCCCATGACATAACACCACTCTTTTAACATCAACTTACATGTACCTTGGTCACATGGAACGTTCATTAATTGACAGCATTAGTGTCTTCTGTAGGTTTTATATGAATTAATCCCTAATCCCTATGATCTCAGAATAAATACAAGATTTCTATTGTTTTAGCCACTGTGACCTTGACCCTTGACCTTTCGGCCCCAAATGCAATAGGCTTCTTAGGACTGCCAAGGACAATCCACAAACCAAATTTGTAGTTCATATGTAAAGTATATCTCAAGTTATCACGCTGACAAAATTTCTATTGTTTCAGCCACTGTGACCTTGACCCTTGACCTTTCGGCCCCAAATGCAATAGGCTTCTTAGGATTACCAAGAACAATACACAAACCAAATTTGAAGTTCATATGTAAAGTATTTCTCAAGTTATCGCGCTGACAAAATTTCTTTTGTTTTAGCCACTGTGAACTTGACCCTTGACCTTTCGGCCCCAAATGCAATAGGCTTCTTAGGATTACCAAGAACAATCCACAAACCAAATTTGAAGTTCATATGTTAAGTATTTCTCAAGTTATCGCGCTGACAAGATTTCTATTGTTTTAGCCACTGTGAACTTGACCCTTGACCTTTTGGCCCCAAATGCAATAGGCTTCTTAGGATTACCAAGAACAATCCACAAACCAAATTTGAAGTTCATATGTTAAGTATTTCTCAAGTTATCGCGCTGACAAGATTTCTATTGTTTTAGCCACTGTGAACTTGACCCTTGACCTTTCGGCCCCAAATGCAATAGGCTTCTTAGGATTACCAAGAACAATCCACAAACCAAATTTGAAGTTCATATGTTAAGTATTTCTCAAGTTATCGCGCTGACACGATTTATCCGGACACACACACCCACACACCCACCCACCCACACACACCCACACACCCACCCACCCACCCACCCACCCACGGAAGGACAAGGCGGAAACAGTATGCCCCTTCGGCTTCGCCGCGGGGCATAAAAAACGGGGGTACCAACGATACAAGCGTTTCACAGCGTACGTGCCGTGCGTACAATGTCATAGCACACTCCCTGTGCACAGGGAGTGTGCCATGAATTTTTATAAACTTAACACGTGATCGTTCCAGGCCAATGAAAATACAGTATTCAAGACAGAGGTCGCATAGCACCCCTCGGTTGTTCAAAACGTCATATCCCACATCACAGCAGTCAACAACTGTTAAATATCGAATACCGTTAATACTTAAGAAGTGTTTGTATCATAAATCTCTCAGTATTGTACTTTTTTCGTATTCCATCTACTTGAATGCAACCTCGTCACCAGAGCTAACTTTATTTTCAACCTCGTTTCCAATAACAAGCACTGGGATGGGAGCTTCCTGTATCCTGATTCGATAGCGCAATCAGCAGGTAATGGATTTCTAGCGCGTACTTGGGGTTGTTATTTTCAACGTGTATTACGTTTTTATTCACATTCATTGTAATTATTACGTACACACTTTCTCAAAAATAATCCCTTCCTTTCCAATATGCTCATATTTATATGGAGTGTGATACTGCTTATTGGCTGGATAAGATTGTAACATTTTAGCTCTGAAAAAAACTCGTGTTTTCGTAATTCACGCCACGACGAATTGATTCTGTGTTTTTCTCAGACATCACATACAAAAACAAACGCTGATGTACAGCACAGGCAGGCACCAGACTGTTCCTAATTTGCGTACGCATCCAATAATTTTGGATATGGATGCAAATAATCCAATACCAGGGTGAGAGAGCAGGTACTGGTGTGAGCGTACTGCTCGACACCTTTGGAACGAGGTTGACTCGAACGCAACCTTATTAATAACCTTAAAGAGGTTGTGGAATGCTCGAAGACATTTCCGTCATTTTTCGGGTATATGTAGCCTAAGCTGTGATGAAATAAAAACGACTATTGTTTCTGTCATAAAATGAGTACAAAAGGTACTTTTGAGAGCTGTTTTTCAAGTCCTGTCACGCCTGTTTCGACCCGAACGTGCAATTTGTGTAAAAGTCGTCGTTGCGGGCAGCAAACAAAACACAGTAAATCGTGACGTAATAAACAGGACTCCCGATGCAGAGTAGCATAAACGAGTCCTGTTTATTACGTCACGATTTACTGTGTTTTGTTTGCTGCCCGCAACGACGACTTTTACACAAATTGCACGTTCGGGTCGAAACAGGACCTGAAAAATAGCTCTCAAAAGTACCCTTTGTACTCATTTCATGACAGAAACAATAGTCGTTTTTATTTCATCACACCTTAGGCTACATATACCCAAAAAATAACGGAAATGTCTTCGAGCATTCCACAACCTCTTTAAGTCACGCCCCTCACGCTTTTTGGACGCCACGCAGAGTTACATGTCGGCGTGGATGGAAAATGTTATTAGATAATGCACTCGTAAAATTCTGGACTACAGTTTATTTCATTTATCAAATTATCATATTTCGATATTTTAATTGCAGCATTACGGACAAAATGTAAATATCACAATCCACCGCTACAAATGCTAGGCATAGCAGAGCTAGCAATTTTACATCTGTGTCACCAATTATTACTGTATGCCACACGTACAGGTATCTTATAAATTACTTATCCATCGGAATAATCTAGGCTACATTTGACAAAATGTCTGGCAATATACGTGATACGGCCATATCAACTACATACATTTTGAGTTGGCAAATTATTTCAATTAATTTAAAAGTCACGACTGACATTATCATTTAATGTATGTGTTTTCTTCTTCTGGTCATTACAGGCCTATGGTTTAAGTTTGACGGAATTTCTTACAATCTACATGACCCATCAGGCCTACAGATAAAAACGACAGTGTTCCGTTGTTCGTAGAGGTTTAAGTGCTTCCATCAGTGGAGGGTACTAATTATAACCATTTCAACGGACTGGCATTGTCTTCCGTAATTACCTACTACGGCTGAAGTCTTTATGGGAGGATGTTGGCTTAGCCAGAAATCCGACAATGGTCACTATTGTGCAAACCACCCCAGGTTTGATTAAACAAAGATTGTGACGAACACACACACGTTGACATATTGTACGTGACAATGTTCCAGTCAATCTAACTTTGTATTGGTTTGACTAATGTACGCAAGTTTACCGTGTACACTGCAGGTTTCCCGTATATTTTGGGGGGCTATGACGCCACTAAATTGTGCAAACGAATTCAATGCGCATAGGCTTACAAGGCTGATTGTCGGTGCTTCATCTGCACAGACCCTTACAGAACGGGCAATGATTTCCAACATGGCAGCATAAAAATACACATATAGCTATCTTAAATCCATTCAATTGCTGAATTGGCAATGCCCGAGATCTCGAACCAAAACTCAATTGACGAATATTGTTTATTTCAAAACTACGAATTCCATGTCAAGTGTACATTGTGTATAGGTGGAAGGTGAACTTTATTTTACATCCAAATATATACACATTTCATTCCCCAATACCAGTGTTAAGAAGAATGGAATATGAAAGGTTCAACTACTCTTGAAATCGTTTTAGGCTATAATTAACAATACACCCCTGTTACAAAGTATGTATCTTGTATCGCTATTGTGTTGAATTGTTCCATAAACTACACACTACGTGGTTGCTTATCAAGCATTTCTGTCGTCACACAAAATACTGAAAATATTACCTTAAAGAATACGACCTTGTCAAAATAATATATTTATACTGCACTTTACATAAGATCACATAGTTTGTAATGATGCATTACGAAGCAGCAAAAACACTCTAAATTGGTAACCATGCAAGGACGAAAAAAACGGTGATTAAAAATATCAAAATTCGGCGTGTGTTTCATGCCCAGAATCGACATTTTGTTGTCGGGTAAATGAGCATGTAGCAGCGTAAGTTACTACGCATAGACTCTGTACATGTATTACAATAAGCCCCTCCCACGCATAGACTTTTCATCGATAGAGGGGGTTTTAATATGAGCAAGACGTTGTCTATCTCGCTTCCTTGTTGGTTTCTACTCCCATGGTTAATTCATCTCTTCCGTGAATCTGGATTTGAATTACACGTACTTGATTTTTAAAGCATTGAGATTGCGACCGTGTACCGTGTAGGACTGACCACCGATGCAGAGGAAGTTCATCCAGAAGACAGTGTTTCGGCCAGTGGCACTATTTTGCAACAAACAGCCCACATCTGACATCTCATGGACGATCCGATATAAGCATGGCCTCAATGAAAACAAGAGTGTAAACTGTCCATGCTGCTCTGTAGAAATCAAGCAAAGGAAGCGGAGCTCGCAGCCAGATCTGCTTCCCTAAGTGAATAAAACAAGCTTGAGGAACGCACTGGCGTACCCTCCAAAGACAACTTCAACTCCAAGAAGCTGAAGAAGAAATACAGCGTTTAAAACGGCGACAAGAAGAGCAAACCAGAATAGAAAGCAGCAAGAGATCGAGAAAAATGTGGAGCTACAGGCAGCGAAGGCTGTACACGAGATGCTGTATGAACAGAAGTTATCCGATGTATGCTCACAAATTTCACCAAATATTGCGGCTATGGTAACACACGCTGTTGTCGTTGAAGCCTCCAGACCGTATTCCTGCAGCTGCTGAGACCACAATGAAAAGTAAATTGAATCGGCCTCGCGTACCAATGTTCTCCGTCACGTACCGATGTTCTCCGAATTGCAGCAGGAGACAAGACAGGCCCGAATTCTTAAAGGTTTTGGCTTGAAAACTACCCACAACCCTCTAACAGCAATAAATGGATCAAGCATGCGGGGAAACTGAGGGAAAATAAGGAACGATCACCCACACTGGAGGATTTTGAGAAGATTGTTCGCTAAATTTCCAAGAATGAAAATGATCCCCGCTTTGCTGACCTTAGATACCAGAAAAGAAATGAAGAGGGCAAGACACAAGTCCAAGTGGCCAAATCCGAAACCAGAGGAGCAACCATGGCAAGGAGGGTCTTTGCAGCGACAGTAAAGGAAACGAAAGAAAATCCGTAACTACTGCTTAAGAGCAGTCCAGGCACCATGTTTGTGGAAAAGGGTCAAATCACTGTGTGCTTGACTTTAAAAAATTCAACGCACTGAATTCAAAGGCAAAATCTGAAGTTTGCCATAAGAAAGGCATGTGTTTTGCGCGCCTGAATCCTGGGCGCATGAAGAAAACCTGCCCGAATCCAGACTGGGCGAACTGTAGTGAATGCTCAAAATGTCATGTGACGGCCATGCACGACCCGGACAGACAACAAGAATCATCCAAGAACCAACAGAAGCAAATATATGAAGCTGTACAAATTAAGAGTGTGTGTGGGTGTGAAAACGAAAGCATGTGGCATCACAAATGCCGATATGATAAACCCACTGATGGCCATAATTCGAGTGACAATCAAACTGACATCAAGTAATGAATTCCTCACAAACTATTCATCATTGACAATGTACGTAGTGCTGTTTTCTGTTAGACTGTTACCCAACTAAGTTCGTCAGCAGACCCAACACTTCTATTAGAAATGGTATTGCATTTGTTTTCTTTCCATTTCGTGCAAACAAAGTCGCATGGAGAAAATTTATGATAACTTCTAGAGACAGACAAATCATTAATGTGTATGTGGGCTGCTAAAACAAAGCGGGATCCTCAACATCGAAACGAATGCAGCAAAGAGCCCCGAATCCATCTGCGAAAAACAAATGCCAACGTCTTTCCCTTCTTACCATCACTCCTGCTGCATCCATCTTGCAAGCCTTCTCTCTGTCTGTGTAGAGAGGGATAGCTGTGAAGCTGTGCGGACCTTCACCAATCATTGGATGGATACCCATGATAACACCGGCCCTGTCAAACCAGTAGAGGTTTTCTCGATGAAATGGGTTATAATTTGTGTCAAAGATGGATGCTGAGACAACGAAACCCACCCCGTGGCTGATATAAAGAGCTTCTGTGGGTACCCCGGGCACTATAATATCCACCACTACTTCAATTGGAAACGAAGCATCACCTGGTAAGTTGTTTACCGATCTCTGCCTCTCGAGAATCAAAACATGATTTGCCACTCCCAAGATCAGCCTTGTACATGCAATTCGCTGGTTACAATTCGTAGGCGATGGCTTAGAGAAAATATCAGTGGCCAGGACGCGCAGAGAACGAGCTTCCCCCTGGATTAAAATGCCGTCAGATCTAGCTTCTGGGGTAACGCCTGTTTTGGTCGGCTTCTGTACAACAAGAGGTTTCAAGGAAACGGGGTCCAAAACAAAAACATTGGACAACCGAGAGACGAACACCATATTTTGCTCCACTATGAAGTCGTCAACCTCTTTGAGTGGCTCTGAAAGCTTTTGCATGCTCTTAGCATCCAATACCCTCAAGGATGTCTGCTCTGGTCTTAGCCCCGGTTCACAACCAAGAAGAGTACATCCCGAACAAGCCCTGTAGTTGTATCGACACCGGTGAATCTTTTCCTTGTGAATGATGCTTCCAAATTCGTCGAATATTACTATAGCTTCGCTGTTAGCATAGAAGAAAATGACATTCTGCTTACATAACTTCGACGTCCAGCAGTTGTGTTGGGCTGGCAATTCCCATTCTAAATGGGGCAAGTGAGGACAATGTATCACTGGATTCCTAAAGGCCTCGGGACTGCTGCAGTCCAGGAAAACGAGGGTGTCCTGATTTAAGGGACAATCATGTTCTGCTTCCGGTGGATTCGCGCCAGTGTACAAACACAAAACGACCGTTGACTCGCCAACATACAAAATCTTTTGAAGCTGAAGGGCCTGATGACGTGGCGTTTGACCTGAATTCGCACTCTCCTTTTTTGGACCACCCTTGACCTTTGACGTACCACCATTTACTTTCACGCCCATCTGCTGTTGAACAGTCTCCATAAATTCTTTCTTTTTGCCACCTATCATTTCTTTCGCGAGTGCAAAGTTGATCTGCAGGCCCCTCCGACAACAGAAATCAAGAACATCAACAACGTCTTGCAAAGCATTTATGTCAACACTTGGAGTCAGGTCTTTCACTTGCTGTAGGATGTTCTTGCGTCTTGCCTCCAGAACCAACTGCCGAAGATTAAGCTTGACTGTCACTCTCCCTTTTGAGTAGATCAATGTAGAGGCTATGTTGGCAATCCTTGGACACGTTCCATCGCCAACATTAAATGCAATTAATTTTTGTCTGAAATTTGCGTTACTGGCCACATTCATCAATGTAACCACGGTTTCATTCGCAGCGTCATGGTACAACAGAATCGGAATGGGAATGGAATAGTTAAGACCGAATTCGGAACAGGGCGCGCATAATTCTTCCTTGCCCCACTCCTGTAATTCATGTTGACGATGTTGGTCTGGAACACAGATGTTCCCAGTATAGGGATTCAGCAAGACAGCCTTCCAAGGAGGAAGATTGTGCATGAATGCACCAGTCAGATAACCATCGTGTGTCAGGTGAAGGTTGAGTGGCTGCCCCTGAACTTCACAGACATTTTTCTCCACGCACTCTGTGTAGGATTCGTGCCTTAATATTCTACGCCAAATGATTGGCAACATTTGAATGGGCCTAGGAAACCTTGAATCATCCAAATTTGCTTTGGTAGCCATCCATTCCAGAAGCACCCACCACGGCTGGTACTTAAGCGTGCTGGACGCCGCACATGCCCCACTGCCTGGCATCGGACCAGCGTCCTGGTCTATGAAGATATCAGTCTTGTGAACGTACTGTTCCACGTAGTCTTGATATGCTTTTTCTGCCAATTTGTTCTCACCCAACATAGCAAGAACCAACGACTGATGAAGATACAGCTGTGGCCCCTTACCAACTGCCTTCTTGATCCGAGAGTTAGCTTCCCATAACCAAGATTCGTACTTCCCACCAAGGGGCAGGGATGCGTTTGTTTCGCAAACTGAGAATCCTGCATGACAACGTATGAATGATTCTACAGCAGCCTGAAGCAGACCTTCATCGCAAATTGGATCATCTGTCACATGATCCCAGAATGCAGCAGCCTTGTTGGCATGAGACTGATCCATTTGACCTTGGTCGTAAGCTGCAGCACTCAGGGCACATGACTGTAAGACCAACCTGTCACGAGCCACTGAAGAGCCTTCATTGATTACCTCAACTGCATGTCGGAAGAACTGCACAGCTGCATCAGGGTCATCAAACTGAGAAAACATCCTGCCTATTTCGTTATGACAAAGAGCTTTCTGCTGGTCAAACAGAGTATGGGATCTGAAATTTTTCTTCGGCTCGGGCTGCAATCTCACTTCATTACCCGATGGTATGTGGTCAGAAATGTCCAACAAGGCTCTCTTAGCCTTATCGACCTTTCCTCTACACCACCAGACATACGCTAAGGCAGTATTAAAACAATGGGTTACTAACGTTGAGGAGTGCTTGTTAAGGAATCGCTTGACTCTAATGATGGATGTCTTGGTGTTGTTTGTTCCATCTTCAGATAGGTAGGTAGGAAGCAGAATGTTAATGCAATGCGCCAGTGCAATGATTGGCCAATCACTGTAATCATAGCCTGCAGCAAAGACAGCTATACAAGCATTGCTCTTAGTTTCATCATTCAATTCCCAAGCATCTACTCGGACGTCTGCATCACAAGAACACAATGAACGACAGTCCCTTACAAAGAACTCTGATTTTTTCCCGTGTTTGTTCATGAATTGCAACGTGTGGTGTTTGACATATACCTCAGCATGCTTCAGGGCTTCTAATACCCACTTCAACTGGACTTGCTCCAATTTGTATTGATTATTGTGTGCTTTCAAGAGGGCCCTTATGCCTGGGGCAATTTGGCAGGGTTGTGTCAAGTCAGAAACTACAACCCTTCGAACACCTTTTTGGAGGCACAGCTCTACTAATGATGGGACAGGGCAGGGCCTACTCACTTCTAACTGTACAACTTGAGGGGCAGTATCACTATGCATCGCTATTGAACTCAGAAACTGGTTCTGGGCACCTCTTTCACTTCGATGTTTCTTCTTTTTCGTTCTCTTTTTCACTCTTTCTGCATTGTCCCTTTTCAATTTTACTTCGTCATTTTGGAATGTGTTTATTTCAATAAAGTCTTCATTATAACCATCATCTACATAATCTTTCTCCTCCTCATCAACACCACATTCATCTTCACCACCATCCTCGACGCAATCATCCAGATCAAGCTCATCCATCGTGTTGTCGCTACTTCCTTCAAAGGTCTTTTCTACCACATCTCCTAGATCATCATTTCCATCTTCTGCAGGGACAGTACCCTTCGAATCTTGAGAGAACTCCCCTCGGACTGATGTACCGCAGTCGTACCTCACACTCACAACAGCTAACTGGACCTCAGTTAGATCTTCGTCTAATTCGTGACCACCTTCTGCCATGCTATCAGATGCTGAGCAGACGTGGTCTGCAACAATCTCAAGAAGCCCGCAACTTACACCACTGAAAATAAGACAAATCGAGAAACACTCATGTACCACAACCGCTGCATCACTAGCGGTACTACCCACACTTGTCTTGTACAACAGTGGTACGTTTTAGTTGACTTGTAAACTGAATTCTTACCTTGAATGTCGGTGGATTTCATACAAGTGGGAAATTTCTCCAAAACTTTTGCTTCATCACTCCACTGCTCTTATATGTGAGATTTCACTTTTTGTTGACGACCCTGAATGAAAGGTGACAAAATAAGCGGATCCTGATAAAGCAAAGTCGCAAGGACAACACTCAATGCATATCTCTCCTACATGTAGATACAATGACACTACATAAACTCACAGCTTCTCAGTGTACTCCAAGTACATTAAAAGAAATTGTGTTCTTTTCACCTACTCTGTATCAAACAAGTAATTGGTAGCTCGTGGTAATGTTTGTTAAATTGAGGCTTTTAACCCTAACGTCCTAAGGGCCGCTCTTTGGGGTCAAGGACCAAATACTACAGAATACTACATGTGTTGTGCACACTTGTACGGAAAGAAATGCATACTACAGGTTACTACTCAGTAGTATTTTTGTAGCTTTAGGTGAGGTTAGGGTTAAAGATGTTTTGATTAGCCATAGGGGAATCCATAAAACACCGCAAATAATTGAATTAAATTTTAGCCATTATTTGATAATATTGATTGATGTGTGGTTCTGGTATAAATGCCATCATTAAAGCTCATTTGCTGCTGAAATTATGCTAAGAAAATTCATAAAATAGCTGCTGCATCAGGTGTGCACTAAAAGGACTCCTCATCATTTCTCTATAGGTGTTATTCATAATATGTGGTTAAACAGTGGATTATCTTTGACTTTTTGAAATACAGTAAGTTAACAATGTAAAATTAAAAGTTAAAAATAGGCAATTCCGGGGTGGTGCCAACCTTTAAATGCAATTCGAAACATACACTTGGCGCACAGTACAACATTACCTGGCCTACAGAAAAACTTGTTCAAAATCTCACCATAACATTGGAGAAAAAAATGATCACAATTCTACAATGAGACTACATGTACATGTACAATGAAGCTCTTACAATGTTCCAAGCCAGCTGGCGGTAAAATGCTGAAACACCCTATAATTTGTCATGCAGTATTTATATCATAAACTACACAATATGAAATATAATTTGGACTTTGAAATGGTTCTGTACACAATAATGCACTAAGGTTTTGAAGGAGTATTGCACAACACAGTGCAAGAATTGTAGGCTACAAATGTACATTGTTTGTTAACGATAAGGCAGTAGATGGGTTTATGCGGTGTATGCCAATATTCATATTTTTTACAATTTGGGATTAAATACATAATGTAGTGTATGCAGACTGGGACCCTGTATGTAAAAAACATGCAAAACAACATCAGGTCAACTTAACTCACTCTTTAGCCTACAAAATTCTCCAATAGGTTCTCAGTGTTTCACCGTGATTTGAGGTATTAATTGAAAGGAGACTTTTCTTCAACATTTTGCACCCGAGTGTGAAACCAAGTGATTTTAATTTGAAGTCCAAGACTAGACTGACACATGTCCAACTTTTTGAGAAGATTTACCTTTCAGTAGTCTGGTGGCATAACTGTGGACATGTGTAGAAATAGCGACTGGGTACAAGATGCTTCTTTTGACACAATTGATTGATGCATTAAAGACCCCTTTGGACTGGTTGTTTGGTGTGCCAGTCTATGTTCATATAATTGTGTTGCATGTTTTTACTGTCTTAAGTTTTGGGACTCTCATACACAGTATTGAGAGTCCCAAATTTCGGACTAGGGTGTATGGGGTGTATGCCAATTTTCAAATTTTAGTAATTTGAGATTAAATTCATGAATTTGTGGATAATCACTCAAACCAACGATTTTAGCTGTCATTCTATTGTTAGATTTCATGGCATTGCTTTAGCATGCCATTAGGTTGGATGGCTTTAGGATGCCTTTTTAATTTTGTAAATTGAGGCAAATGATCAAGATCTGATCTTGCACTAAAGTTCCGTTTCATTCATAACCAAACCTGCTGATGGTGCCTGAAGCTCACGCGAAGAGACGAGATGTGTTTGTACATATTCAGATTAAAAGTAGCCCTGTGTACTTTGCTATACATGTACGTGCGCATACCAGTGCGCACCCGATGTGTACAGTGTACCGTCCTCTCACTGGGCTCTCACAAGTGGTCAGAAAGCGCCCTCTCTCGTTTGCGCACACAGCCCATAACATCTTCACATGAGTCAGGCGCCGTAGGCACTGCGTTCAAATGTTGCTCCCAGTGGTTTCTCGCTACTCTCCATTTGCAACCAGGGTACTAACTTGTGCATAGAGTCTGTAGTTAGTCATGAATACTACCCAAAAATGAAACACAGCCGAAGATATGTCACCCAAAGCCAGGAAGCTTATGCTCAGTGGTGATTTCATCATCCAAGTTCAAGAGGGAAAGCATTGTACACATCATACTTTCTGTTCAAATAATTAAGTCAACCATGATACATACTGGAATTTGATCAAAACAAAACAGGGGCCCTATACTTCACTATCGCCCAAAATTGATTATGTGCACATTTCTTTTATAATCACACTAGTGTATGAACAAAATATTCGAAATCGCACAGTGCAAGTGATGTACCGAGGAGAACATTTATCGTCGATTTGCAGCTCCCTTGATTTTCTTCAAACAGTCCAAACATGTCAAGGAGAGTCAGAAATCTCGCCAAAATTCCTTTTCTAAAGATTTTATCCTAAAGATCTTTGTGTATCAAGAAGGTTTCATTTTCCTTTTCAAAGTGCACTTCGTCACAAAAAAAATATTGGAGACTATAACAAAAGAGGTAGGCTAGGTTTTTATTAGCCCAATAAATGTGGCCAATTTACTGGACTACCTCCGTAAACATAGGCCACACTTCCACCATGTACAAAAACATGTCGAACTTTGTCAAATTTTGATTTTCATGATTTAGGCTTAGTTTGTAGTTTTGTTTGCTTGAGAAGCATACTCACCCTCTTTATAGGCTAATCAGAAAGTGCTGCCTTTTCCGGATGTCTAATTTTCATGAAATTTCAAACGTGTGCAAACGAATCTGGAAATTTCACGAAAAATAGACATCTGAAAAAGGCAGCACTTTCTGATTGGCCTATTATAAAGAGGGTGCTTATGCTTCTTAACTTAAGCAAAAACAACCTACAAATTAAGCCCTAGGGAAATGTGAAAATCAAAATTTGACAAAGTTCGACATGTTTTTGTACATGGTGGATGTGTGGCCTATGTTTACGGAGGTAGTCCAGTAAATTGGCCACATTTGTGGGGCTAGGTTTTTATTTGAAGCGATCCGGAACAAGGAAAAATCCGGAACTAGGAAAACGACTGCAGTACAGACTACAGTCTACAGAGTACAGTCAAATTAATAATAGGCCCTAATTAGCTTGAGTAACTCCAGCTGACATGTTCCATATTCATTCACATGTGAATGAATAATATGGAACATGTCAGCTGGAGTTACTCAAGCTAGGCCCTAATACTATTTTTTTTTAAACCCATCATATTTATACTAGTATCTTACCCGTGCTCCAAATACATTGTTTATTATGGTCCTGAAAAGAATGCAAACATCGGGAAGAACAACTTAACAAGAGTGGCTTCACAGTCAGGGAATAACTATAGCTCCATGATTTAACAAATAGCCCAACAAAGTTGAACAAACTTCATGAACTTTCGTTGTTATTATTACAAACGCCCTCAATAGTTTCCCGCCAGAGAGTCATTGTACGGTGTCTCCAAAGAGACAGATTTCAGTTATTGCAGTTCTCAGAACCAGGGGGCGGAATTAAAATGTTGGCCAATACAGGGTGCAAACTCCCAAAAACCTGTAAATTCCTGCGCATGGGCTCTTTAATGTTTTGTTATCCCACAGGTAATTTTGAATAAGAGGTCCTATCCTTGGGACCGATTGTAGAAATATTTCTGGAGATCGAACATTTGTGGCTTCCAACTCTGTAGATTCGTTCACACAAAAAAACCCATTTGTGGGCCTATTTCGCAAAAAGAGACGGGGGAGGGCTACATTGAAATCTGGGCCCGGGGATTGGCCAACGGTTTAGCCTGAGTTGGTTATTTATTTTAAAAATGTTTTGGGGGGAATATAAAATAAAAGATACGACTATCTCTGGTAAAATTGAAAAGAAAATTGTCCTAGAGGTCGTAATCTTTACTTTCCAGTAAAAAACAAATTGCTATGCCGCTTTGCTCTTGAGCGCAACCAGGCGTCACTTTTTCTGTCCAATTTTTTTGTGTTTTCGATTGTGACCGCGTATTTCGTGGATTGGAACCCACAAGATTAAAGCGTGGGTTCACATAACTCGCAGAAAAAGTGCATTCCACTATAAATTCTACACGATCATGATCTTTCTTAATTATTCAACCCATCTTCCTAATTCGTTATTAATTTTGTTGAGAGGACAATTAATATCGTCTGTTTACCTAAATTAGGCGAATCCGAGACGAACCAGTTTATGGGATGGTCAAATACAGGCCAAGCCCACCAGTAGGCCTAGTTCGAGATACAAGTTGAAGTGGCTTTCAGGGAGTATTCCGCAGCAGGGCACTCAACTAAAACAGGTTACATGTACTTGTTGGCTGCATATCGGCGGGCACTATATAGACGAGTTTTTGATGACGCGAAGGTAGTGTCAGGCGGACGTGTTTCTGTCAGTGGCCAGAAATATTAACAATCTGTATTCTTCGTTCTTGGTTGGTTCTTCTCCTAAATACTCCGCGTGGAAGTTTAACAGGAGGCCAGAAACACCGGGGCAAACCCCTTCTCTTAGCGACGTGCATTGCATTACACAGCACACGGGACCTACGACTTAATTTACGCCCCATCCGGAGGACGAAGCAATAATGGTTAAGAGACCCTAAACCTTTTTAAAAACGTTTCTCTGTGTATGTGTGGGTGTGCGTGTTTATGGTGTAAATCGAGGACACACACGTGCAACATCATCGATGAATTGAGGACACGAACCAAATCGAGAACGACCTCGATTAGAAAACGTGTACAAAACCAATGAGAGTTGTTGCAAAAAAGTAAGAGTATAAACAAAGGAAAAGATAAGAGGAGCAATAGAAAATTTTCGATTTGCACCATAAACAAATCTCAGTGTGTGAGAGTTTGTTCCACATTCAATAGGGGACGTTGAACAATAGAGGACAATAGGGTCTCCAATTCCCGAAGGTCCCCAATTTGGCGATCGTGTAAAACATGATGGGAGGTCTTTCTAAAAAGTACAAACAAAAGAGGGACAATAGGGGTCCCCAATTGCTGGCAAATACACACTATGTGTGTGGTAGGCCTATTTATGTGTTTTATGGCACACCGCGGTGTTTTCGTAGGCGCCCAAATTGTTTATAGGCCCCGAATTTTTCGTAGGCCCTATTGGCACAGTGCCTTCTGGGCCTATTTGGGTAATCCGGGCCTGCAACCGAAACAGAAACAACCCATCTGTTAACCATTTTGTAATCATTTAAAAAAGAGCCATAGTATTGTCCCACATTAACCTTTCAAGCCGGCAGTTGTGATCGGTTTTCACTTTGATGCTTTCATGATCCTATATATTGATGTTAATTTTACTTTTTCTTTTATTTTAAAAATGACAGCAACATTTTGCCTCTAAAGGGGGGCTGTGACATTAGGGAGACATGAAAATGTTTCCCTGATGACCGATGTCTCCCATCGTGCGAAGAAATTACGATAACGTGTCTCCTTAATGGTACCATTACACGTATAATTATAATAATAATAATTACCCTGGATTGGACATTTGGGAGACATCCCTATAGACTTGTGCACACAATTTTTCAAACTTAAATGTGCCCTAACCCAATATTCCCTTGTCTTTTTTCCACGAATTCGGTATGTTTACTAATTAGACCACGAGCAACAAATAATTGCGACAATCAAATTGTGCCTCTAAAGGGGGGCTGTGCATATGACATTAGGGAGACATGAAAATGTCTCCCTAATGACCGATGTCTCCCATCGTGCAAAGAAATTACGATAACGTGTCTCCTTAGTGATACCTTTACACGTAATATTCTGAGGAGCTGGACCAGGCATATACACTAATCTTTCTTGTACGTTTTCTTACAACTTTGTTGGTTTCTGCCCTAACGCCCGGTCAATTTACACCCTATCAATTTACACCCCGGCCAATGAACACCCTTTGTCTACAGACACCTTATATTTGACCATCTGGAGCCCTTTTGTGTCTGAATTTGCAGTAGCAATTCCGCACATGTCTAATGTACCTAACGGCTGGTGTGTGCCGACAAGTCCAATGCAGTGGTTGTGGGTGAATATCTAGTCTGAACCACTATAAGGATCTGAAATTTTATAAGCTTTTGCCTGATCAGGCCACCATTCGGTCATGCATATGGACAATTTTGTTTTAACATTAAAAAGGGCTTTTGAAATACCCTTAGCAATAGCAATAGGCTGAACATTACTTTGACAAAATTAAGGTGCATTTCGTTCATAAAACTGAACCAAATGTCTAAAGCCATTTTAACGTCGGACTTAACTTCAAGTCTACATTATGTGTTCCAATTATGTATTCATTTTATTGCCGCAGCTGAAATCTTGATTACGTGTTAAATTAGTCCACTCATTTTTTTTTTACTCTTACTTAGTTAAATATGAATGGAAAAAAAAACTGAAATCGTTCGCTTAGCCTGTGCACCACTTCTAATGCGGCATTTTTGGGCTTCTCTGCATGAATTTCTTCCCCGGCTCAAAATATTGAACGGTCGCTAAACAAGTCTCCAGCCAGCATGGTATTCCTAACATTTGTTCTCATTCCCGCAGAAGACAAAGCAAATGGACGCAAGGACTGTTTTCATTTACAGTAGGAAACGCCGAAGTAACTGTTGTACATTTCATGCTGACATTCTGCATGCATGATACAAAAGTACACACAATACTCAGGTTAACTTTTTGAGGAAAACAAAAGACAAGTGTATCACATACATCGACCTAAAATGCGGGTTTGACTTTAACTTAAAAACTGCCTTTTACTATTTTGGCGTCTGCAGCCTTAAAATCAAACGACATACCTTAAAATCAAACGACATTGCGGTTGTTTTTACCCATGAATGTAGCCCATGCATTTCACATTAAAAACCTTTATGAAACAGACTTGCTGCATCATGTTTTTTAAAGCTATTTACTTATGATACAACTTGCACGTCACCGTCAACTCCTCTGCAGCTAATTCAAAAGAAGGCTTAACGCTTTGTCGATTCCTTAATATCAAATCAAAAGAGGGTTGACGGACGCTGAGAACTTCGTGACAAATTTTAAATGCATTCTTTGCAGTCTTTCAATGCAGTCTTGATTTGAAATCAGTTCGGCAGGCACGAGGAGTGCTTATTACAAACAATCATGGACTGATCATATCAATCTACGCACAAAGTAGTGAAATAAATTATTTTCCACAGCAGCGATCCAGTAAGCGTTCAACTGCGAGGGACGCGACGATCACGGCTGATAAACCTCCAAGAAACAAAAATGACAACTCGTAACTTCCGGTGGCATCATATATGAAACCTGGGGGAAAGAAGAGAAAAAAAGGGAAAAGCTCACAAAATGTATTAAATATACAAATGCACTAAACAGTTTGACTGAATTTTTTGTTCAACGTATAATTCAACAATTTTATAGGATAGTGTTTGCAGTGATGACACAAGCTAAACATATGTGTGTGGTGTTTTCATAATAGACCTTTAGCGTTGCATGCACCTTCGTGATTGTTCTTTGTTATTTTACATGTAACAATGAAACAACCGTGCGTTTCCAAGTGATACCAAACCATTAATTGCCCTCGCACTCCATCTTGACGCATAAAGTATAATAGTATTTTTCATCTAAATTAACAAAAACTCATGGAAAAATAAAAACGTCATAATTGTACCTGCCAAAGCTCCTCCAGCTAATTCCCCAATCGCAAAGGTGACACACAATATACCCCACGCCCTGTCGCCTATTTCACCCTCCAAGACTTGCTGGGACACAAGTATGAACATACCGGCCATCACTCCGAGACAAAGGCCATTGATGGAAGATAACCCAACCAGTCCTGGATAGTTATCTAAAGCGATTGGATCAAGCACAAATGCTCCAATATTGCCACAAGCAAGAAGTATGAACATTTGAACCGGTGTGATGTATCCACGGTGCAATATTGGTCCGTATACGATCCTGCCAACGAGGGTACCAACTCCAGCTGCCGTAGATAGAAGAGAAGCTCGCTGGTTCCCAATACCCCTGACCACTGCATGAGGAACGAGGTAAATCATCCAGGCGCTATACATGATGCCAAGTAAAAAACACGCAAAAGCATATATGGTGAACATTGGTTCCAGTAGTAATACATCCAAGGATATAATGTTATTGAAACCCTTCGCAGCTTTCTTAAAGACGTTGATCAAATTGTTCAGTTTACTGTCACCAGATAGTGAATGCGCTGGTATCATCTCTTGACGTGGAGTGACAAGGGCTTCATACAGCGGTAGCGGTGGCGGCGGCTTGATCAAGGCTCCAAAAACGCAAATATTTGCATTAAAAGCTGCAAATATGAGTATGGTGCCACGCCATCCATATATCTCGATCAAGGCTTCTGTCAACGGGGGATAAATCATCATCCCAAAGGCACATCCTGTGGCAGTGATACTGATAGGTAGAGCCGCATTGTTTGGAAAATACTTGATCACTGCGGCAATGGGAGGGACGTAGGCAAGGGAAACACCCATTCCTGTGGAAGAAAAAAGTTTGATCGAAAAGTAGCATTTAAAATTTTGCACCCAGTAAAAAAAATACAGCGAAGCGTCATCATGTTGTCACTGAAGTGCAACCAAATGACGTATTCTTGTAGAACAAAGGGAAAAAAACATGCCACATTCCTGCCAAATTTTAAGAAAATCGGTCGTTGCATATAGAAATGAGGATGAGGAGGAAAGTACCAACTGGACCCGAGAAGACCCAAAATATCTCAGTCATGATAGGATTAATATTAGTAATTACATTAGTTCAATTGGAGAGGCTTTATGTCAATTTTACCAATTGTATGGGACAATGCCATGCCCTGGGTATAAAGAGTTAACCGTCATGTCGTATGAAAGCTTGTCAATGCATCTGAAAGGCTAACTTGAAAAAAAGTTGTGGCGAGTTCGCTTACCCCATATCATTATGAGAAGTGAAAATACAGCAATGTTAGTCGCCAGCGATATTCCAAGGAACGCAAGAAACATGATGACTCCTCCCAGCATGACGAGTCTTCGTGAGCCATACCTTTCAGTCAAGATGTTCACCAGCGGAACTGATAACGATAAACAAATTCATGTGTAAAATTCACTGGATACGGGATTTTTTTATAGGGTCGAACCTAAAATCGAACTGAACTTTATGGAACACCTTGAGAAAAAATTAACACGGATATTATGCACGTCATAACTACAAGTCATCATGCCATTTAGTATTATGCTAACTTGCTCCATTATCTATAATTAGCTTAGCTTCCTTAGAACACAGTTATTTAATAATGACGGAATTACACTCCTACTCGGTTAACAAGTGGGCAATTCCGTGAATTCCAGCTCTTTTTGTACGTCCGACCACCATGGGCGTCGCGAGGGGGTGTGGGGAGACAGGGGGCGGGGAAGGGGGTGGCGCTTCCCCTCCCCTGGAAAAGGGAAAAAAGGAAAACAAAAAGAAAAAAGGGGGAAAGAGAGGTGTGAAGCGATATTTCTGTTAATTGGATGGGGGGGGGTAGGACAAATGTTCCCCTTCTCACGCTCGGAAAAATGATTAATTGAGAATATGTTGAAAAAGTTAAAGGGAATGTACATCATTGGCTTTTGCTTTAATTTTCAGAAATGAACTATTTGAAGGGGGAGTATAATAGATCAAATTTTGTTACACTGATATGTTTTAAGTTTTTTGTTCGAAAATGCTGGAAAAACCAAGAAAAACAATAATGTTCAAGTAGTCTGGTTCCCTGACTCCACTAAAGATAAAATGGATCAATTTCCAGATGCCGGAAAATTGTACGGTAAGGGAACAAGTCTAGCTGGCCTGCACCCGTTCATGAATATGTAACCAATAGCAAACAAAATTTGAACTGAATAAAAAATGGTAAATTTGGAGCAGTAGTTGCAAAATAGTTAGGTTTTTCCAACGTTGGTCGGCCGACCACCGCTGGAAACGTAAACAAAAATACAATTTTCTTGAAAATGACTTCACACCAGGTGCCATAACTTTACAGGATGCTTTTGACTGTCATTTACCAACATCCTAGTAAGGTATTTCGTAAAAACTTGGTAGTTTTATTAAGGAATTTGAAGGGAAAATGTGCTTCCCCCCCCCCCGGAAAATATCCTGGCGACGCCCATGCCGACCACATGATTTCACACGATCGTAAAGATGGTAGTACACGTACTAGTTTGGCCTGTAATTGTTTTCTTTTCAGCAGATGTCACATATTAGTAATGCATCGCATTCACACTACCAACAGAAGATCAATAGAACTGTCTGAAATGTAAATCCGAATTTACGGAATCGCCGAGGTGTATAAAGTGGCCACATTTTCCTAGGTAATACCAGAGTTGCTGACTCGAGTCATGTGACTTGGACTCGAGTCGGACTCGAGTCGCTATTTTTGTGACTTGTGACTTGACTTGTAAATACCAGCTTTGACTTGTGACTTGACTTGGACTTGCAAACAATGACTTGTGACTTGACTTGGGATTGCAAAAAATAACTTGTTACCAACCCAAGTCAGACGCTACTCGAGCGACCCAATGCACTTTAATTAAGCAATTATACTTTTAATTAGCTTTTTCATTCCAGAAAATAGACCTCAGTGACTGAATCCAGTAAAATGAATAGTTCCCACTAGTTTCAAAAGTTTTCAATAAGACTGTCACAACAAACTACAGTTTTCAATGACCAATTGTCTCTTGCTTAATGTATTGGTTGAACAAACTTTGAAAGGAACCTTTCATGAAAAGAAAGCAGGCCTTTGTCAATTGCATGTAAAATACCGGATAGCCTAACCCATTGGTAGGCGTTTAGTATACATGAAAATTGAACAATAAAGTGTTAGTATACTACATGTAATCGAGTGAGGAAGTCTTTTTTTCACGGTCATCTCAACATTTATTTCTACAATGTAAAGTAAATTTATTAAAGTATACAAAGGGCTAATATCCGACAGATATGTGATAAACTACAAGAATAGTAATTGCAACACATTGAAAAAGGGGAATTAAGGAGGCATGTTCACAATAACTCGTAAGTTCACGCCAGGTTAATTCTTTTAGCTTATTACAGCTGGACAAAATAATGTGCAACTTGACGTGTTCTTGGACAAAGATACTTGTGACTTGACTTGTTTTTAGACCAAATGACTTGTGACTTGACTTGCAACTGGACCTAATGACTTGTGACTTGACTTGTGACTGGACCTAATGACTTGTGACTTGACTTGGACTTGCAAACAATGACTTGTGACTTGACTTGGACTTGCAAAAAATGACTTGCTGCCACCTCTGGGTAATACACATTTTGTGAGGCAGGCTATCAGTAGTACTCGGCTAGGTTTGCTTGGTCTTGGTATTGAAATCACGACAAACTTTTTTTAGGCTTCATTATTCATGATACGAATGGATTTAATCTATGTCTGTAAAGCACACTGTTTCGAAATGAAAAAAACATAGCCCACGGCAATCAATTCAGACATTTTATCACGTTAATGATAAAATCAAATATACTAAACGGAAAAATTGGTTTGGTGCCGTGTGCAAATTTCCATGCTTGCCGTCTTATATCTCAAGATTGCGGACGTAATATGAATATCTCGCCAAGTTACACAGCAGTAGTCTGGTTCGCAGACAATGCTATTCCTGATGAATCTTAGGTCAAGTAGCCTTCGGTAATACATTGTATTACAACTTATACGTCACGTGACTAAAACGGGAGGCATTCCTCCTTTTTCCGAAAATGTCCCAAGTTTGCCAAATTCGTTTTGTCGACAATCGGATAGCGCCCGAGTATTTCCGAGTCAATATAGGTTTTATTAATACTAATTTCTTATCAAAAACTTTTTAAAAAAATAGTTGATAATTAAAATTCATTGCTTTCATTTAGAAAACTTGAAATTCAACGACGATTTTGTACATCAAGTATACTCGGATCGTAAACGAGGGGCGATTTTTTTGCTGCCGTTACCGGGATTTTCCAGAACTCGGCGTAGTCTCCATTCGGCTCCACCTGCTAACAGTGTTATTAATTGGGTGCCTAACTGAAGATTCCAGGTCAACATTAGTCAATGTTTTCTTACAGAAATATCAAACTGTATTATCATAACTGTATGATTTGTTGAAGCAAGTGATTTATTTAAAAATTTGATCGGAACATTAAAAGCTACAAACGATAAAGCGAGTTCGGAAGCGAAGCCGAGTTTTGAAAGAGGGCCGTCAATGTCGTCATGTATTATCTTAAGCCTAGCCACGGAGGCTGCCTGACCTACAATTTAGACGTGAGCGTCTGGAATAATTGTCAGCTCTGGGAACCAGACTAATACAGCAGCAGTTGGGATTCTAGGCAGCCAATCAGCGTTGGGATTGTAGGCAGCCAATCATCGTTAGTGGGCTGCCGCCAAAATGCTAGGCCAATCCGTAGGCAGGAATACGTATTAATAGCTGTGTTTGTCAAATTTTATGTCGCGGCTTCAAAAGACAAACATGCAAGGTTAGTTTGAAAATAATTTCCCTCCTCCTCAGAAGGTGTTTTTTTTTCGTGCCAAATAGGAAGTCGAACACCCAATCTTGTTTAGATATGGGATTAGCTAACTTCCATATTAAATGGGACATTTCGCTTGTAAATATACCTCTTAAGTTTTATGGGCTAGATGCAATTTTGTATTGTAACAATATAGCGCCGTGATGTGCCACACGGCCCATTCCATTCCATACCTTTGGAGTTTATCCTTATTGTAAACATAAATGTGTAACAAATAGAATGTTTTCTGGAATAACTTCAACTAATTTGTTCACCTTTATGGTCTATGGTTTTACTGGAGCGATTCCTATTGAGTAGAGAACATTGATGCATTTTGTGTGGATAGGTCAAAGGTATCACTATCTGTATTGTTGTTATTGCTATCACTGAGTCATTGTTGCGTCAGTGTTGCGTTCTTTGTTGTTGGTTTATGTGGATAATGGTCTTGTGTATCACTTATCCATATACATGTAGTGGTTATTGTTATCACTGATTCCTTTTTGAGTTTGGGTTATGTCTATGTTTCCGGTTTGCCCTACCTTTTTTGGTATTCCGGTAATCTTGGTATCACTATCGGAACACGTATAGCCTGGAGATAGCATTATTCATTCATTTTATCACTGAAAGATAAAATACATTATTCTCCACGAACACACGGCCGGCTGAGTTTCAAACTCTCTGTTAATCAGCGGATGGTTGCTATGGTGTGGAATTATTAAACACATCGATTGCCCAAATTGCAGCTGGCCATCCATTGCTGGCATGAAGCCAAAAACGCTGTTCATAGGCAGAAGTTGATGTAACTTCCAAGGGAGATATAAATATTGATACAAATGTGATAAGTCCACGCGCGCGCACAGACGCACTACGTGCACGCCGTGAATGAAAGGCCAGTTCGGCGTAGCTTTTTGAGACCGCTACATCAAAAATAAATTTCTCCTGGAATATGCGTTTGTTCGCTTACATTCCATAGATTTTTTGTTCACATTTGAACTTCAGTTGGTGAACTTATTATTTGCAAATGTTATGCAGCTGACTTTAGTGATCGTTTAAGGTTTTGGAGACGGCGTTTACGTACATCCTACGAGTACGACCATACAGTTTTTACAAGCTGCCTCGTCAAACCGTCAGCCCAAGCGATCCGCCCGTTTGTGGACATTTCATGTGATTTTTCACAGCCGTCCAAGGTTTCCAGAACATGAATTCTAACAGCGTTTTAGGCCTAGGCCTACTTGTACTTTTTGAAATGCTGAATCACCACTGGATTATGTCAGCCGTCCATGATTGAAGCTTGTGTAGTCCTACTTGAATCTTGGCCCGTAATAAGTTTACGGACACCGAAGTCCAGGCGCCAAATCAACGGTCATGACGGTGCGTTCCTGCCGAGTCCGGGCGGCGCATCCCCGCCCAGCTTTCAATCCGCCCCGGTGCTGGTGTCTGGTGTTCTCGGCATGCTTGGACGCGGCAACGTGTCGGCCTGCAGTGTGAATGCTGGATCTGTGTTCTTCACGACCCTCTCTCGAGGTTTCCCGCGTGATACACTGGCTTGGACATCATGCTCAAACATGCCATGCATGATGGAATTCAAGGTGAGAATTTTCCAATCAAACAGCATTTGTTTTGGGCCCGTTTGTTTGTTGTACTGTGTCTGTGCAATATCGTGTGAAGATTTTGTTCACCGTTTCCATGATTTTAATTTTAACGCAATTCAGCGCAGCCAGCGGTAGGGCCCTAAGCTAGCCCTGGTGAACTCCCTTTCCTCCCTACGTTACGGAGGGAGTCCTGAGTACACATGTGCTCACAACCGAACGAAAACATTTCTGACCAATAATTTCAATAGTTTTAACTTGTTGGAGAAGCTAATTTTTACGTCGTAGTATTCTATGTGTCCTTATCTGTTAGCACGCTGGGTTCAGGAATTCCATATGCGATGCTGACTGACGTCAATCAGGAAAATAAACTCGAAAGCATCGTTAAACTTGTACGTGTTTAGTCTCTTTTCATCAGTTTCTCACCGCCGAGTCTATTCTAGTCGTACATCATGTACGTCTGTACGGTGCAGCGTGTAGTCTGGTTCCCTAGACCGGACAATTATTCTCGACGCTCATTATCACATCTGGTCCGGGGGACCATTCGAGGTATAGTTTCTCTCCTGTTTGAGCTTGACATCCTTTTCTGTCACCTAGGCCAACTTGTGAAGCCATAGGGATTACAAACATTTAAAAATTATAATGAAATACTACAAACGTTAATAATTAAATAGTTATAATTTCTACTAATGTAATGTTATAATAGCGAAACTTTCCCATAGACTTGTGCACAAACATAAAATATCACCTAACCCAAGTTTACCTCTTATCTTTTCTTCACGAAATTTGGTGAATTTCTCGAGCTAGATGGTTTGCAACACGAAAATTCCTTGTTCTAAGGGTCGTTCTAACAATAGGGTGACACCAATTTGTCACCCCAACAGGGCGTGTTGCCAAAATCCAGATGTGACTTGCCAAATAAATAAATTTAAAAAAAATATAAAAAAACCTGTCGCCCATTTGCGGGATCCTGTAGATTATATTGATAATAATGATAACAAACACCCTGACAAAACAAATAAAACAAACACCCCAACATCCCAACAAACAAACAACCTTAATGAACAAATAAACAAAAAAATAAATGAATACATTTAAAAGATAGATATGTTTGCAATGGATAGCTGCTGCTTCGAGTATTTTCTGTTGCAGGATGCCAGAGGACAGCACACGCTACAAATTGGTTTGGGACCGGGACTCGTACCATCGAATGCTCTTCAGATTTGCAACATAGAGGTCTTCCAAGGTTGGACATCTTGTCGGTTGGACAAGTTCGGTGGGTACTGATCGTCCAGCAATTCGGCCAGTTTGGCGTCCAGATTATAAACTGTTGCCTAAAGGCAAATATCAGGAAAATAACTGTCAACAGGAAAATAGCTGTCAACAGAAAGCGGCACACTTTAATAAGAATCTTTTTTTGACCATGACCTATTAAATTCTATGGTCATCCATTTCAATTAAGTTGACGCGATATAAAAGCATAATGGCATTGAGGAGGATAACACAACATAAAGTGTACGCTAAATTATGATCTGTAGACACATACATTTAACCGCACGTTGCGCATTTACGTGCTTGACCCAGATCTTTTGTAGCCTAATTGTACTATTCATATGTACATGTAAGTGTAATAATATTTCCCATTGTCATGTTAACGTGGATGCACCGTACTTAAGCCTCCTACTGGTTCTGATTTTTCACACACACAACAAATATTTTTAAAAATCGGCTTCAAAAACAAGGAACAGATAAAGCTGGTTAGAAACATTTCTTGACATGAAATGAATATTGCTTAGTAAATTACAACTTGGAATTTTCTAAATTGCATTCATGCTCTTGATGTCATTGGGTTGTAGGTTGTACATAGTCCTGGCTATTTTGAACTGTATTTTCTTTTAAATTAAACACGGAATACTCATCTTCAGGTAACAGTTTAAATGATTAACTATATAGCTATACATTGACTGTTTACATTTAATAATAACAGCTACTTCAACAAGTTCATTGTTTTAAGGGGATTTTAAGTTATAACTGTACTTTTGGAAGATAACATAAACAATTAAAAAGTTTAAAAAAAAAAAAAAAATCTTTAAAGAAAACTTGGTCGCCTATTTGGGGGCCGGAAGGGAATTTTTCGATCCTTTCCACCAGGATGGGTTTCGTACTGGCTTTTCGCCTTTTTTTAGGAGCAATAATAGCTCATTTGTTTAGTTCACGTTGGTGATACTCACAATAGGAGGTTGATATGTTGGGGATATTTTCCCTTACTGATTTAGATTAGATCTACCCACGGGAAAACTGTACATTCGTCCTCTTTTTGTCCACGAAGGGTTTTGCCACTTTGTAGGCCAGCTTAGAAGGTAGCCACTAACACCCCCCCCCCCCCCCTGTATCAATTGAATCTATATCGGTCAGGATTGGTTGGAGGAATATATATGTATATAAAAAGTATCTAATCAATATTTGTGATTAGTTTTACCTCTTTTGACAACGTTATCCAATGAGCAAGTTGTGGCGAAATGATTATAATACCGAACTTTGTAATGTGTATTATTATTATGCATGTTTAGTTTGCATTTTACAGCAATTTCAAAGAGGCAGCTTGTGTGGTTAAGGAAGAGTGCCAAAGATTTGTGGCAAGCATGCCGATGAGGTTACAGCCTTAATGATTTTTGCAACATTAACTCTTTAAAAAAAAAATGGTAGCAGTTCGCACTCTATCCTCAGTTGGTAATAGTTATACACAACTCCAGTATTACCCTGGCGCTAGTATTTGTTTCATTCACTCCTTCTCTTTTGGGGTTCTACTCTTCGGGGTAAGGGTGTGAGGGTACTGCCTGTCGTCCTATGGGGCGCGCGTTGCGCGTTTGGCGAAGTTGGCTGGGAGCGACGGGCAGTGCCTCAATTCAAACTAAAATAAACAGGTTGGGTGAATAGTTCTTAAGTAAAACCTTTGAATTTGGACGTTAAACATTTAACAAGTTGTGTTTAATCTTTGTAAAAAAGTACGCCAAGCACCCATTTGTACTGATGGGGCATGCCAACCGTATCTACGAGCGGTGGACCAAATCGGTGTGCTTTAACTACAAATAACTTCTTGAGTAATAAAGGCATATAAATACTAAAGACACGTGACAAATACTTAAGTCATGTGACAAAACACTTTGGCTAGCATCCACTTGTTCTGGTGGGGCTAGTGAATGGTTGGCAAGCGTGCCAAGGTTTTGGGCCCAGTGATGCCAAGCATGGCAAGGATTTGGGGCAAGCGTGCCCCGTTTTTAGCTTGTTTAAAATGTTTCTAAGGCAAATATCTTTTAGCAAATAGGTAATTATTGTTAGGTTATAGCTTGTTAACGTATTTACGGACATTTAATACAGTTAAACATTGACCGAGGAGAAATAAATTAGCGGCTCAAAAAATCTATGCCAGAAAAGTCAAATCAACTCTCACTGTGTGGTTTTGTGTGTTGTCTGAGAATAATTGATGATTACGGTGGTCAGGAGTACCGCCTAATGCTTCCGGTTTGCCCTACGTTTTGGTATTCCGCTGAATTTTCTTAAATTAAACTTGAAGCTGTGGCACATTACTTACACACAATTTGGGTGTCTGACTACTTCATTACCGGCACACTTTCGCAAAAAAGTGGTTCGGCCAGCTTTCTATGCAACTCCTCACTGGGCGAGGGTTTTGTGCGTAAACCTTATCAGTCAGCCGACACGCTCAATTGACTTAGGCAAAACTGCAAGTCCCATCATAAAGAATAAGTTAACCGGACCATTTTTCCAAGAGTGTGTCTCTAATGAATGGGCTTTTAAAAAGAAGTTTTGCAAATGGGAAAGACACTTTGGAAACATCCAATCAGTTTGGATATTATGCTTCATGAATTTCTAAATAAACGAGCACATTTTTAAACAGTATTTAGTTACTATTATTTTTCGGTGCGGTGGGGGGGGGGCAGGTGGGGGGGGGGGCTAGACAGACGATATATCAGAATGGCGCAATAAGACCGACAGCGGGAGCAATAATTTTGATTAGGGTTTCAAAGATTTCTACGCGAGTCATTTGCATAGAAAGTGACCCCACAATTTTTTTGTAAAAAACGAGACCGTCTAGTTTCAAAATCGGTGGAATCGTGCGAATATAGCAGAGGATCATCTCCCTAGCTTTTGGGCTATTATCTAAGAGCAGATTTTATAAAATTAGGGTCCAAAAATGGGTCCTATTTGCACGAGAAAATGTAGGGATGCCATTGGTAAATTTGGCAGTATGCAGGCTCAGCATTACCGGCAGGCTCCATTACCGGCACACTTTCGCAAAAAGTGGTTTGGCCAGTTTTTATGCAACTCCTCACTGGCCGAGGGTTTTGTGCGTAAACCTTATCAGTCAGCCGATCACGCTCAATTGACTTAGGCAAAACCGCAAGTCCCATCATAAAGAATAAGTTAACCGGACCATTTTTTTCCAAGAGTGTGTCTCTAAATTAAATGTTTATTGGAGTTTGAGTATAAGTAACTGATACCTATTGCATGACAAGTGTCACTTACCTAGAACATAGCACGTCGTGTGCGACGCAGCCATTGCAGTCCCCAAGGAGGAAATTGAGCAATCCAACGATTCGCGAATCGGCAAAATAAAGACGCCGAAACTTTTGAAAGTTCCAAGCTCAATAGCGCCGATTAGAAAACCTAAGACGGTTACAACCCATCCGTAGCCACGACCTATTTTCTGGAGAAAAACAAATGTGGAAAAAATACTTTAGTGTTCCAAGCAATATTACGCTGATATTAATTTTAAAAACATCAAGGAAACTATTTGGAAGCTTTCAAAAATTCTTTGGAGCAAATATAATTTTTCTGTTAAACCAAAAAAAAAAAAATTCGGTCTCTGGTCAGACCAAAGTTCTGGAATTGACGCAGGGACGCGGTTTTTTTTTTTTTTTTGGCTTTTTTTTTTTCTTCAAGCTTGGATTGTACAGACAAGTTGGGGTACTATTTTGGGGTTTTTTGGTGTCCTCATGTACATTGTTGTCCTCCATAATTTGCCTTGGTGCTTTCGATCATTTGCCTTGGTGCAATTTCCCATTCCTTGGTGCTCTTTGGTAAACAAATTTGAGGAGGTGCGGCAATAGAGGGCGCTGTTAGAGCTACCGCGGAACATTTTAGAAGAAGAAAAAAGACTGACGCGCATGATTAAAATCGACGCGCGCGCTGACCAGAGACCGACTTATTTTTTTTTTTTTGCCTTACCATGTTTTATTTTTGTTATTCAGCTGTATCTCCAGATCGGACCAACTTCGTAGTTTCATGTAATATTACAGGGTTTTTGTTTAGGCCTGACATGAATTATACCTTCGACATCGAGTCTTCAATTGCTTTATCATAAAATGGTGAAAATAACCTCAATTTTTTAAATATGATAATATTAACACCTAATAGCCTCACGGTTTATGGTTACATATCATCCATTTTAAATATACTTCTGCCATGGGGATCCATGGGCAAACTATACACACAGAGTGGTACGACATCTGGTCCTAGTGACATATGTCAAGGTCTACTTGACATAGTAGAGTAATTATGAGTAATTATGGTAAACGGGGCTTCGCCTCGTCCGCTACGCATACTGCATCACTTAAATACCCCCAGTTACGAAACCATGCAACATCTTGGTAATTGTGTAACCCACACAATCAAAGGCCCCAAAAATATTAACCCACAATATGTTTTTGTTGTACTTGCATCTTCATCGTGAGTGCGTGGGTTGAACAATCTTGAGCTGTTTGTTTCTCTCTATTTCTGTTTGAGATATTTCAACCATTTCCAAATAAAAATTTAACAAACGTTTGTAGAAACAAAGGTAGGATCAACGTTATAACATGAAAAACAAAATAATATCAAAAACAAATTGTGCCTTTGCTTCCTTTAAACAGGTAAATACGAATCTAAATATGCATACCACAGAAACGAATTTGAATTCAGATATGTAAAATACTGGTCGCATACTTAGGACCGTTAAAAGGAAAAGGAGGGAATTCACTCTACAGCTTGCATAAAAAATGCAAACAAAACATAAGGGAATGCCAGACAAAGAATGTGTAGCCAATTAACATAAATAATTAAGGTACCGTTTGAAAGATACGCCTTTCCACTTTTAAACGAGACATCAAACGTCCAATATTTTTGACAGAGTTATGAATAATTTTCCAAGAGAGTTCAAATTGACCATGGGACCAAGTTTCGATTTTAGGCATGGGGATGAAGGTAGCCTAATTGCCTTAGTGTCGATAATTGCCTGGCCTACCAAAAAAAATCAGTTTAGCGAGTAAACACATTTCTAAACACTTTCTTGCTATCAGTTTGTAACCACGTTTACATGCTAAACATTGTTAGCATGAGGTGATAGCGAGAAATTGTTTAGAATTGTGTTAACTCGCTAAACACATTTTTGTAGGCCAGGCAAATATACACACGGAGGCAATTAGGCTACCTTTGTCCCAATGCCTAAAATTGAAAACTTGGTCCCATTTTACACAACTTACCCCAGTACATGGCATCTTCATTGAGCGTCCTTGTTTCTGTGTAAGAACAGCGATGTGGCGGTCTGCAAGCCGATACGACAACCCACCGTTGGAGCGAGGCTTTTACCTGGAAATTACTACGTTTTATTAGCGTGCCAAACGTTCGATATAATTACGGATCCTAGACACCAGGATAAACGACTGTCTGAGCTCTAGTACAAAATGCACTGAGCGGACTTGTCTAGTCGCGTAAAAACGGGCATTAATACAAGGTGGCTTGTAATCGCGAATTTTCCAGGTGTGCCATTGTGTTGGGTTTTCGCACGACATCTGAAACGGAAATATTCATAAAACTGTAAGCAAAACTACTCCTTATTTAAGATATAATTGTTCCAAAATTATTTTAAAAATAAATACTTCAGGATATAACAGATGGAATTGTGCAGTGTTTGTCGTCATAGATGAAGTATTAACCCTGGAAATACACGTCAAATTTCGAGGAGAACACTGTTTACCCAAATTTCGTTTTAATTAGGCTTTTATTAAGAAGTTTTAGAGAGATGTGATGCCGAACCGATGAAACAAAAGTGACATTTCATTGTTCATCTTAAAGCTAAAGATATTGTGCTCGGCATTACCATGGTTATGTAGTTATCACCTATCAGAATTCAATAATAAAGACCACAAACGTTGACTCATGAATATTCAAAAATATAATTCGCTGGCTTGACAGACTTTGATGCCAGATCGGGCGCAGAGCCTTGCAAATCTGAAAGATACCGCGCGGATATGTGACAAAATATCGATGAATTGTGCATGAAAGCGTGAAACTTTGCACAGATGTTCAATTTCATGCAAGAAAATGTTTTAGATGTGGTGCCATCGCAAATTTACCTTTTAGGGGGCGTGGCATCCATTTAAAAAAGGGGCGGGACTTGTCGTGCCCTCAGTGAAAACGGTTGTTCCCATTTGTCACAAAAGCAGGAAACGTCACAAAGACATAATTGTATAGATAATAAGTGTTTTCCAGATTCGGAGCCGCCACAAAAGTACCTTTTTAGGGGGCGTGTCAGCCATTTAAAAATAAGGGGGGGGGGATAATTACGATGCCAACTTGGGAAAATTTGTGTCCATATTTCATGAACGAATAAAACGTCCCACAGACGTTTATATTCATGAGAAGAAAAAAAATCCAGATGTGGAGCCATCTCGAACGTACCCTTTTAGGGTCGTGGCAACCATAATAGGAAAAAAGGGGGGGGCGGGGTTTTCATTATGCCCACCATGGAAATATTGTTCCCACTTTCACAGAGAAATGGAACTTTCCACAGACATTGACATTCATGAGAAAAAAAATCAAGATGTGGAGCCAACACGAACACACCGTTTTAGGGGCGTGGCAGCCATATTTAAAAAAGGGGCGGGGTTTTCATTATGCCCACCATGGGAAAAATTTGCCCACATCTCATAACCAAATGAAGCTAATTCCCACTGACATTAATATTCACGAGAAAAAAATTCAGACGTGGAGCCATCGCAAACACACCCTTTTAGGGGCGTTGCAGCCACAGTAAAATGTGGGGGTATAGTCATGATGCCCCTATAAAAAAGTTGAACCTACCTTTCATAAACGGATTAAACTCCACACAGACAATATATTTATGAGAATCTTTCTTTTTTCGAATGTGAAGCCATCACAAACTTACCCTTTTAGAGGCGGGGCATATATTAAAAAAATTGGGGGTGCTACTAATCATTTGCCCACCATTGAAATTTGTGCCTACCTTTCATAAATGAGTAAACTTCACAAAACTTCAATGGTGAAAGAAAATAAATTCAGATGTGGAGCCACAGCAAACTCATCCTTTTAGAGGCGTGAGGGGCCTACTCACTGTGCCCACAATTGCAATTTTTATATTTGGTTGTTGATTTCTTATAATGTTGATTGACCCATAACCTATATGACATTATTTGGTCATACAATGACTTACACCAAAGAGCATGGGTAATTACCGGTAGGCTAACCAGTTATAGGGTTCAACGTGTGTACATGCACCTATATTATCATGCACATCTAAATTCCAGAGTGATTTCATAATTATAAATACACAGCACACAATGGCAGCCCTAAACTATAACATTTAACATTTAAGGGCCAAGGAAATCCTTTTTTATTGGGGTGGGGGGAGGGGGTGGGGTGTCATATGACGCTTGGGACGCTGTTTAAAACAATCACATTTCCTGGCCATTTCAATAGTCTTCAATACATGTACCGGTATACGTTAAATGTGAAGTAAAATATTGACTTTCATTCCATTCTTCTTTTTTTTTCGTTATCTGTTCTCTTTTTCTCCTGGTGTGGGTGTACGTGCACTATATACACCCCGAGGACAGACAGACAAAGGGACAACAACAGATTCTTTGTTGTCCTCGAGAGTTCATCTTTTGTTGAAATCGGTCCTCGGTCGTGCGTTTGTGTGCTTAGTCTATGGGAGAGTGTTATATTACTGGGACAAAGGAAAAGACAAAGCATTGTCCTCGAGAGTATAGTAAAACACAACTGTGTGTGTGGGGGGGGGGGGGTGTGGGGGGGGGGGTGTTGCAAAATCCGCCTACCCCCTACCCGTTGTGCCGCATTGACAGCAGGTTGGGTCACAACACGATGTACTCTCCTCACCGTGGTGGTCACGTCCACTATGACTTCACATTCAATGAATCTGTGCACCCCCACCATACAACCCCTCCGTTCACTTAGAAATGGTATATCAAGCTCTGATGAGTGTGGGTTTTTTTTTACCCCAACCAAATCCATTACAAAAATCAGTAGCCCTGACTACATTTTATACTTTATACAGGCGCGACACTGCATATGCCTTTGGGTCTGTCACAAAAAAAGGCATGGGAAACACAATGTATTTGAAGAAGTAACACTAGTCTTTCCAAGACTAACTGAGGTACCCCCCCCCCCCCCCCCCCCAGTTTATACCCCAATTCAGAAATTGCTGCAGTTGAGAGGTTAACAATAATTCTAGACGACAGAACCAGTAACTGGGTTAATATAGATGAGGCAAGAATGCATAGCGTAAGAAAAAAAAGGGTTTGCCAACAGTCACTTCCAATTATAAAGGCGGCCCGACTCCAACACATTAGAAGAGCTATCTGAGGTGGATTTTATCATATGAAAAGCGGTCAAAATTTTCCACGGTGAGCATATTGAGTACCCCCCCCCCCATTTTGAAAGTGGATGCCGCGCCTCTAAAAGGGTAAGTTTGTGATGGCTTCACATTCGAAATAAGAAAGATTTTCATGAATGTATTGTCCGTGTGGAGTTTCATCCGTTTATGAAAGGTAGGCACAACTTTTTTTATAGGGGCATTATGACTACCCCCCCCCATTCTACTTTGGCAGCCACGCCCCTAAAAGGGTGTGTTTGCGATGGCTCCACGTCTGATTTTTTTTCTCGTGAATATTAATGTCTGTGGGAATTAGCTTCATTCGTTTATGAGATGTGGGCACATTTTTTTCCTATGGTGGGCATAATGAAAACCCCGCCCCCTTTTTTAAATATGGCTGCCACGCCCCTAAAAGGATGTGTTCGGGATGGCTTCACGTCTTGAATTGTTTTCCTCATGAATGTCAATGTCTGTGCAAAGTTCCATTTCTCTATGAATGTGGGAACAATATTACCATGGTGGGCATAACGAAAACCCCGCCCCCCCCCCTTTGTTTTCTAATATGGTTGCCACGACCCTAAAAGAGTGTGTTCGAGATGGCTCCACGTGGATTTTTTTTGCTTTAATGAATATAATTGTCTGTGGGACGTTTAATTTTTCATGAAATATGGGCACAATTTTTTCCAATGTGGGCATAATAATTACCCCCCCCCTTTTTTTTTTTAATGGCTGCCACGCCCCCCAAAAGGTACTTTTGTGGCGGGTCCGAATCTGGAAAACACTTATAATCTATATAATTTTGTCTTTGTGAAGTTTCCTGCTTTTGTGACAAGTGGGAACAACCGTTTTCACTGCAGGCACGACAAGTCCCGCCCCCTTTTTTCAATGGATGCCACGCCCCTAAAAGGGTAACTTTGCGATGGCTCCACATCTAAAACATTTTCTTGCATGAATATAAACATCTGTGCCAAGTTTCATGCTTTTATGCAAAAGTGCACAATTTTTTCACATATCCGCTGGACTGGTCTTTGTTGGAAAGTATTCATGGTATTTGCCACCAGTACAGGCCGTTATCACGCGTCTAACCAGGAGTTGGGCCGAGTCGTTAATCCTTGTGAGTAGGATCCGTGATATAATTGACAGCCTTTAAACACGGATCTTATACTAGAAAGAAGGATGCCAAACTCTTGGTTAAGATCCGTGATAACGGCCCGTACAGGTGGGAAAAGTGTCAACAAAGACCCAGCCAGCTCAGCTTCACTGCGCGCGGCGGCTTTTAAATGTTCATATCTTTAGCTTTAAAATGAACTATGAAATGTCGCATTTGGGGTTTTTTCGGTTCTGGACCACATCAAGCGAAAACATTTTGATGAAAGCCTAATTAAAACGAGATTTGGGTAAACGATGTTCTCAGTGTGAATCTTAGTAAAAAAATAAGCGGGGAATAAAAATATTTATGAAAACATATATGAATAACCACACAAGAAACTTCAAAGCGCTGAACTCCAACAAACACTTGTTTTCGTACACACACAAAATCTAAATAAAAATTTTAAAAACAGCTTCACCAACTGGGAAAAACGGCATTTTGAATCAATAAAGACAAATGCGATGTGAAAAAAAAACAATTCATCGCAAAAGGTGTCACATTTGACTTTTTCCTACGGGTAAATACTTCATCTATGACGACAAAAATATACAATACCATCTGTTATATCCTGTAGTATTTGGGTTTTTTTAACACTTGTGTTTCAAGTATATCTTTTCCAAGGAGTAGTTTTGCTTAAAGTTTTCTAAATTTTTCCGTTTCAGATGGCGTTTGCTTCTCTCTATTTCTGTTCAAAATGGCGCACAGGGAGCATTTGCGATGTCCAAGTGTCGAAATAAAAGTCTTTCGAAATGATGAAATATATATTCCTATCTTGAAAATTACGTATGTTCGCCTTCTTACAGCCTTAGGTCAACTATAATCACTGAATTGAAATTATGTGCCGTTCCCAAATCAAAATTGTGGCTTTTGTAAAGTGACCTTTCTTACGCAAAGAGCTCGAAAAACCGTCGCGAGATCTGACGGGTTTTAACGAGATTTCATGTAGGGCGCCAGGTGTTGGCGATTAACATGCCAAGGGGTATCACGGCCCATATCACGCATCCAACCAATTAAGTAAATCCGTTCGGTGCATTTTGTACTAGAGCTCAGAACAGTCGTCCATCCTTCTCTCTGGGATCCGTGCGCGTTGTTGTTGGACATGGGATTGTTTAGGGCTACATAATAATTATTACGCCATTACCAGCCGCAAGAGGGCGTTATCACAACTAATCACCTTTACTCACAAACCGCAATCACAACGTCTTGGGAATCTAGTACACTAAAAAGAATGTGCTAATTTAAACACAATCTCGGAATCACTCTGTAAACATGTTTCCTATAAACATCGATGTTCCATTTGCGTAGCAAAGTCATTTTGATTGGGGTGGGTGAGGGTGGTGGGGGTTAAAGGGGCTGGGTGGGGGTGGGGTGAAGCTTGGAGATGTGAGCGGTGGCGGGGGTGGGGGGCTGAGGGCCTTGGAGGGCTGGGGGAAAGGGGAGGGCTGGTTGCTGGGTGGGGGCTTGACACCATCTTTCTACGGGGGCGCTGTTCAAAGCAGACGATTATGGGCACTATCTGACAAATAAGTGGCGCTCTTCATTGCCGATGCCCGCTGGACGTTCAAAAGGCACACCTACGAGCACAAGTGAGAATATTGGGGTGAATACCCTCTTACCCCTGCCAACGATGTTACGCCAATGTGTTAAAATGCTAATCGCTATTCATGAATACTCTAAACACTGTTAACATTTAAACATGATAACAAACTGATAGCAAGAAAGTACTGTTTAGAAAAGTGTTTAATTGCTTCAAACAGGTTTTGTAGTGTAGCGGTTTTGCGCGAGCACCTGTTTTGCCTGATATAATTAGGCAGCGCGCAGTGTGTCCCAGAAAAAGCACGCCCGGACAAATCAGCGACCATATTTAAGCAAATATTTATGTGGGAATATTTTTTTTATCTGTTTTGTCAAGCTGTTGATTTATTACCTGTAAAAAATTGAATTGATTGAAAACTTTCAAAGCCATGACTATAAACGTACGAGCTCCATAAAATCGAAACTTGCATTTTTTGGCGGCATTATCTTGTGCTGGTAAATTAGTGGGGAGAGGGAGACCAATTTTATTACACACGAACACCTTTCACATGCAAAACAAAGTGACTACATTTAAATAAATGTGTAATGAAATGAGGACATAGTCTCTTCTAGTTTCCCCTATAATGATCCAAGTTTGTGCTAAAAGTCGTTGTGATATGTTCATTACTTTTCGTTGGAATTGGAAAAATAGGCCTCGCTTCGTGCAATTTTGAAAATTGTAACACTGGCGTGCGCAATATCTATCAATCTTTTCAAGCCTCGCGAATATTAATGGGGTTCCTATCCATTACGGTGTGCAGTAAACAATTGGATAAAAGCCTCCTCCACGAGTTGTTAATTAACAAATATCACCCTTTTTGCCGGCTTCCATCGGTCGATACCGAGACCCACGCTATGTCACGCCGAGTGACGCTAATGAATATGCTAATAAGACCGTCATCATTGTGTGCTTGGCCGAAATCGGTCAGCCGTAGCGCCTACGGCTCTTTGCTGAAATAACAATGGGTTCGGCAAATTATTTTTTTGATCGTCTTCGAAATTTTCCATGGAGATGGTTCACGTTGCCACACTAGCGTCCGCAACAACAGATTAAGCTGAAATTCGGAATATACTGAGATGATATAAAGTGTTTCAACTACTCGTGAAATAACAACTGGGATAAATTCCTAGAAATTGGGATAAATACATAAATTTGGGGAAGTTTTCGAACGATTTCTTCCAGACTTGAAGGTCAGCTTTGACAGTAACCAGTACTGAGGTTTCGGCATCGGACGGCGATTTTTTTCACTGATATGAAGTTTAGAATTTCTTCTTCAGTTAGAATGTAACATTTCAATCATACCGAGCGATGTCATGAGTGGTTCCGTTTCGGGTAAGATTCCTATTACATGTCCTCAAAAGTGGGTCGTGTTTTGACGACCGACGGTAAACTTGAAAAATGGACTCTCCGTGGCAAACTCTTGGTGGCGCACTGCATTGTGAAACGATTGATTAATATTTAGTGCATGAGCTACTTGTTTCAAATGCATAAAAAGTAGAAGGATTTTATCCCAATAATTTATTCTAAATTGAATCTATAAATTTGTTTCCAGACTTCATTTTAATAACAGTAGTTGAAATTTGCACCCGTATTATAATTTTTCCTATTTGACCGTCTGTACGGTGATAGGTGGTTCGTGTCTGTTTCACATGTTCATAAAAGATAACTATCAAGATGTCTATTATTCTTTTTCTTATACTGTGCTTTTTACTATATAGGCTGGCTCTATGATTTGACTGGAAACTTCAAGGCAACATTCATCCTGATGGCAGGTGTACAATTTTTTGCTTTTATCTTTGTAGTAGTGGACCACGGAATAGCGATATTGAAAGACAAGAAATGAAATTACTGCAAAAAACATGCGAACGGAAAGGCGGCTCCACCCTGTCACCCGCTTCGCGTATAGCTTCGGGTAAATCTCGGACGGAAGAAATGAGCGTTTTGTGGGGTTTGTTTCTTTCTTCTTCTTTTTTTTGGGGGGGGGGGGGGGTTGAGTTGAGTCAAGTTGGTGCCGCGACAGTTTCCTAGTCTTTGACCTCTTTAACCTGGTTCGACTCTATAGTTTAGGCCAACACGTGGAATGGGTTTTTCAATCCTTACCTGATTTCGCGGGTTTTCCCTGCAATATGCAATACCGGTATATACTTCAGGGGTTTATCCTATCGTCCGCACAACGAGTGCGGTTTTTTTTTTTTTTGTTCAGTAGGTTTTTTTAACCTAAATTAAGCAGTTTTTCTGTATACTAGCGTATACATGTATAGCATAAATTTATATTTCATGATGAAGTAATGAAGTACCCATTATAGGGGATTATCGAGTTACAACGCAGACATGTTGGTAATTTATTAAGATTTTTTTTAACAGAGGACAAATTTTTCGAAACCCCCCCCCCCACCTCCACATCGTTTGCATGGGTGGGTGGTTTGGGTGAAGGGTAATGGAGGACATATTTTTTTAAGTTAATTTCACGACTTGAAAAAAAAGAGACAAGAAAACACGATTTTTCGTTCTGGCATGCTTTATTTGTCAATTTTCATGTGCCATTGATTTACAGAATAAACCAGCTTGGCGTCATAGCATTGTTTCATTCTGTGCTAGGTATCAGCGTTTTAGAGCCTCATACTGTCATAAAAGAATGTGATGAATTCCCGGGAGTACCAATATCTATAGGCATCAGTGCTATTCTGATAGTACTGACCATCACAATTTATGATAAAACCAAAATACATTAGGCCTATGCTGGAAAGAAGAATGTAGAAGATTTTTTTTTTTTTTTTTTTTGCTGTGAAAAAAAAAACAGATCTGCATCATACATTTAGGTTTAAACTTGTGTCATAATTATGAATGACAATGTGTATGTATTTCTATTATTTGTCTTCAAACTGACTACATGACTGTATACCTGAGGTCGAAAGTTGTATTAATAATTGATGTTACTGCAATTAATCTACAATTAAACTATAATCTTGTTTTATCAAGATTGTACTTTCACTCGTAAAAATATGGGATCCCTATTGTATTTTGTTCCAAGTGAAACGAGAACAATTAGGAAAAGACTCATTCAATTAGAATTGAAGGAAGAAAAAAGACCAGCACTCCGGACTTGAAAGACGTGACGTCATTGCGGGTGTCAAAGGTCAACCTCGTATTGGAGCTCGAAAGCTATGTTAACGAGGTTGTTGGGACACCCACAAAAACTAACGATTGAACACACGGAGTACTGGTCTTAACCCTTGCCCCTATAATGGTGTGTGAAAAATCATATTAAATCGGAGGATTCAGGACAGCATATGATTTAATTAAATTTGTTTGTTCGTTATATGGTTTGCTTTGATTTGGCGTTACCATTCCTTTTTCATATTTTCTTGCATTCCCATGGAAAAGGAAATTTAACTAAAATTTGTTAACTTTTTTTGCAAAACCTGTTTTATAGTAAGTTGAATTTATCTTTTGTTTTCAATCATCTTTGATACAAAAATACAATTTCGCATAATTATATCGGTGCTCGTAAAGCAAAAATTGAATTGATGGTTTGTTTTTCAAGATTTTTAGATGAGTATTTTTAAGACCATTATTTGAATAAGCTACATTTCACAGATATCAGTTAACATAATAAATAGTTGTCCAAAATCGCACAGAAAAAGTAAACTTTGGCAGTACTCTCTTCGGATCACTTGAACAACAAACCTTTAGTTCAATAAACAGATGTTTTCATTCATTTTAAAAGCTTACTTACTTTACAAAACGGCATCGTATTGGAGCGTTTATATAGCAGTGATAATTAGTCTTTATCATCTTGTAGCTATCTCAATGTTCTTTACAACTGATCTAAACGACCAAAGATCTGCAGAAAAAAATCACTGTCTGGTGACTTTTTTGTACGCACGGTTGCCTCAGTGATTTCTCAATGTCTTGTTCTGGAAACCAGACAAAGTGGCTGCACCGTGATAAAGTTCACTGGTCTGTAAGGGCCAAGCCAGACAAAGCAATTCTCATCGGCAACTCAGAGGCAACTATAAATGCATGGTAAGATAAATGTAACACTAGGAGGAATGGAGAACATTAACTGTCAAACAGTTTATAGAGATACCTCAGAGTATTCATGGGAATGCTATTTTTTTTCTGTCCTTTTCTTGCCTGGAACAATTTGCCTGTGAATTCCTTCGTGTAACACACGGCCCTAACGCCGCGTCCAAATCGGTTGTTTTAGACTACGGTTTGCATGCTTCCAGCCTTCCACTACTCATGTACTGCTCTGTAATCGTAGTCAAAACATCCGATTAGGACGCGGCCGGTCTTCTCTACTCTCTCTGTGCGATTTTGGATTTGATAAACTAACAAAGACGACAACACATTTTAGGAGAAGGAGATGATGAGGAAGGAGGAATAGGAGACGGGCTAGAAAGCTGCTGCTCAGCCTGCACCATTTCCGCGATGAGATGACAACGAAGATTAGGAGAAGGAGAGGATGAGGAAGGGGGAATAGGAGACGGGCTGGAAGGCTGCTGCTCAGCCTGCATCATCTCCGAGATGAAATCGTCTAGTTTCCCCGAGATGGCCTCCAGTGTTGGGCGAGCATCGGAACTTCGTCTCATGCAGAACTCGCCAAGCAGACGGAGACCGTGGGGGATGTTTGCGTCACTGGCTACATCCACGAAGAGATTGCCGAGACTGTAGATATCGGACTTCTCGGTGAATGTGTCTCTGCTTTCAAGAATCTCGGGGGCACACTGGAATTGAATGTGTGAGAAAGTAAACTTTAGCCTATAGGCGTTTACATTGAGCAAGGATTACATTGCTCATTTGATTAGAATGCGGACTTAAATAAATCGTTGTTCTTTGCACTCTACATTTTATTGGCTGAAGCTGGACATTGTCAGCTGCACACAATTATTATTTTGGCTTTAAAATTGAAGTTAAGACAATTTTAATCTCAGCGAGTAATAAAAGTTTGGAAAGAACGGAGAAAGCACTAAAGATGCAACAAGGAACTCAAGTCAAAAAGAAATGGACTGGGTTTGAAAGATAATGGCGTGTTAATTTTCTTGGTTTCGTTCGTACCTGCTTGGCAAGTTTATAGAGCTTCTTCTGTTGCTTATCATCAAGGATCGTGACTGGGCCTGGATTCGAAATCTGCAGGGCGCTTCCCAGGTCGATGATCTTGCCACACCAAGCCACCTTAGAGCTTGGTGGATTGGGACACACCATAGCATTGCCGCAGTGTAGGTCGCAGTGAAGCCAGCCAGCAGCGTGTAAAGCCTTGAGTCCCTTCGTGACATCACGGCAGACGTGTAGCCACTCTAACGCGTTCAAGAGATCGTCGTGCAGCGCCTTGCGGAAGTCGTAAGCCGTGTTTCTGCCAACACCGCCTACGAGCTCTTGGGCGTAAGAGCAGAAGTCGATGACTCCTACAAATTTGGGAAAGTAGGGGCAGTTCATCACCGCATGCATGGCTGCCACTTCGTGCTGCAAGAAAGAGAAGTTTTTAACCAGCACCTTGACAGCAAGGAGAGTATTTTCTGCTTTACGACGCATCAGTAGGACTCCACCACAAGAACCCGACCCAAGCGCCACTTCTTTTCCGTTGTCAGACATAATGAACTCCAACTCGCTAGAATCGATTGTGGGATAGGCTGTGAGTTCTGGTAGTCCTTCCTGAGGACCTTGTGTTGCTTGAGGGTTCTTAGAAGAAGCATTAGCTGTGCTTGATGTGTTAGCAGAATTCTTCGTGATTTTCAGTTGTGGCGAATGGTAATTTTCTTCAAGTGATGCCTTGTTGACAACTTCTCCTAATGAAGCTGAAGTGGGAGTCTTATCAGAAAGTTTAGACAGTAAAGACACTGGACTTTCAGATGATCGATCTGAGTCGCTATTCTCAGTCTTCTGGGGTTTTCTTGGAGTTTCTTCCATTTCTTTTTGGGCACACACTATGTATTTCTTTGCATTTATGGGTGAAGTATATTCTGCGCCTTTTTCAGAAGCGGCCTCTGCGAGACTTAAGATGTCCTTCTGATCATGGGACGCTGCTCTTGATGCGTCAGTCGAAGATGACTTCTTCAAGATTGTGGGTAGATGTGCACATGGGGGTGCCTTGTTGACAACATCCCATGGTTTACTTTCAGTAGACATCTTCTCACAGAGCTTTGAAATTGAAGACTCTGGACATCTAGCTGGCGTTGCCGCATTTTGATCCGAGTCGCTCTTTCCAACTTTTTCGACTTCCTTGTGTTCCTCGAAAGTCGTTTCGGAATTTTTCTTTGCAGTTATGGATGCAGACGATTCGAAATCTTTTGGAGATGCTACCTGTCTAGGACTCAAAGCGTCTTCCAGGGCCTGTAATGTTGTACTTGATGTTCCTCTGTCCCCCTTGATTCCTGGGTCTTTCTTGACAGGATTTGCTGGAGAGACTGATTGCAAACTTTCAGTACTCCACTCTTCGTCCTCTTCGTCCGTCGATAATGAGATCATTTGGCTCAATTGACACATTATGTCTTCGGCTTTTGCGGCGTTGGCTTGAATTTCCTGTCGGGAAAAACATACAGAACATTTAAAAATTTCAAAATTTCAAAATGTTTGTAATAGTTTATTCTGACCATTCATGACATAAACTCAGACCCGGCTCTTCCTCAGTTTTCAAGAAATCATGAGATTTAAAATCCCTTTGCAAAAGTAATGAGTATCGACTCACCCAAGCCTCCTCTCTTGTGTGAGGTGTCTTGTAGTTGGAAGCAAGTTGCATTCGTCGCATCGCATCCCTTCGCTCAATACAACTCAGCACAACCGTCAGCCAATCGTCTAAGTCATCCAGATAAGAACTTTTAAAAGCAAATGCCGGGGCCATCTTGAGCTGCAAAACCAACCCAAAAAAATCTAAAACTGAAACGGTTGCTTCAAACATGCACCATGGAGACAACGTATGATTTATATGAAGTTAGTTAAGCATCATGAAAGATTAAGAGGTCAAACTCAACTCTGAAGATCTTTCAAAGTATGGATGATGTACAATATTTATTATACTCACAGCGAGTCGCTGCTGACGAAGCGATGGTAATTTTGTAGACCTTTGTCTGTTTTCGTCTGCCATTGTCTCCTCATCAAAAGAGTCAACATCCACATCAGCTTCTGAACTTGATATTGCCCATGAAGACTGTGGATAAAGGGGAGGTGGGATACTATAAATATTTCTAAATGTTCGCTGTAGAACAATAAAACATTTCCTTACTATCAGTTTGGCTACAAATTTAACATAGAGAGATGACTTAATTAGAAGACAACGTGAAAATATCTATTCTATTAAATTCTTAACTTGCATGAAGATGTAGCGAGTTAATACTGTGATGGGACAGGCATCCTATTTGTCCACATTGCCAATGCTTACATTGCTAATAGATGATGCTGATGAGCTTTCAAAATCATCATCGTAGATAAAGTCTTCAACATCCGTCTCTGATCCCAGATTCTGAGACGAAGAAGAAATGTTGGATGTGAAGGAGACAGATTGACTAGATGGAGATGGAGTCACTGGAATTGAGATCGATTCCCAACCACTACCATGGTCTCCACTCTCTCTTCCCTCTTCGTGAGGCTTGCCATCGCCACTTGAGATCGACGTCAGAGGATCTGCATTAGGGATTGCTACTTCCTCATCCGATGATATCTTATCCCGCATCTTTGTTCCTTTCTTCTGAATTGGAAATGAAGGCAAGTCGCAAACCGAGGAATTGCGAAAGGACTCCCTTGGAGTTGAAGCTGGGAGTGACCCGTCACCGTAGTTGGCGACGAGGCTCGGAACCTCCTTCTGCTTCTGTGATGTGATCGGATTGTCACTTCTTGAAGCAGGGTGGGAGCTTGACTGGAGACGGTCCCAGTCAAATTGAGGTGTTCCTGGGATCGGGAGGGGCTGGTTGCTGTACGAGGCTGGTCTTGTTGCCATGGCAGTGCTGCATTGCCGACGATGCATCTTTATAGTTAATGCTGGGAAGAATAAAGCAATTGGCCAATAGGACACATGTTTTATCTAAAAAGGAATGTTTTCTTTTTCTAATTGTAAACATTTCAAAGAATTGTTCAGGGTGATGTCATATTCACAATGGCTAATTTTCATTTTGAAATTCACAGGTCCAAGGACATGAATTACAAGCAATGCACCTGCCATAAATCAACTGGACAGTTAATGATCCAGATGATGAAGTTATTACAGAACAACCATAAATTTCGCCAGATAGATATAACTTACCATTTCCTCCAAATCCCTTCGCTTCTCCATTCTTCAGCAGAGCGCTGGTGTGCCGGCTCTGGTGACCTAGGTCACTGCGGTCTTCTTTCAGTGACCTAGGTCGACTGACTTGACCTGGGTCACTGTGGTCTTCTTTGAGTGGCATAGGTCGACTGACTTGACCTGGGTCACTGTGGTCTTCTTTGAGTGACCTCGGTCGACTGACTTGACCTGGGTCACTGTGGTCTTCTTTGAGTGACCTGGGTCGGTTGACTTGACCTGGGTCACTGTGGTCTTCTTTGAGTGACCTGGGTCGGTTGACTTGACCTGGGTCACTGTGGTCTTCTTTGAGTGGCATAGGTCGACTGACTTGACCTGGGTCACTGTGGTCTTCTTTGAGTGACCTCGGTCGGTTGACTTGACCTGGGTCACTGTGGTCTTCTTTGAGTGACCTCGGTCGACTGACCTGACCTGGGTCACTGTGGTCTTCTTTGAGTGACCTGGGTCGGTTGACTTGACCTGGGTCACTGTGGTCTTCTTTGAGTGATCTAGGTCGACTGACTTGACCTTCCGATTGCCCTTGTGATGTAACGAAAGGCTGAACGGTGGTCTTGGTCCCGCGACTCCGAGGAGCAAAAAGAGATCGAAGTCTCGTTTTCCACGTTCGCTTGGGCCTTAGGAAAGAAAGTTATATAGGTGGCGGTCATGTTGTATACCGGTAATGGATGGTACCCACAGGTAATCATTCCTTTGTACTGTCTATGCTCTTTGAGTTGGTTGTTTATATCGATAAGACACGACCCAACCAACCCCTCTGTCTGTTTGTTTCCCTGTTTTCCTGTCCCTTCCTATTGAGAGGCTTCAAGTCTAATGAGAAGCAGTTTCCATGAAAACGAAAAGAGGCTGACAAGACTAGTTATCTAACCAAGAACCACCTCACTGAATGACTGGTCCGATTTCGGCCCATCGACATGCATTCTGACATGCATTAAACGTGTGCCACTTTCCCCATAGAAAATGATGACATTCACCTTGATTTTGTCGGGACAAATGCCTGTCCTACGACGACAGACGGTGGCCTGTCAATGTCGTCTTCTGGGGGACTCGAGCTCGTCGTGTCGCTGGTGATGTTCGCCAGCTTACGGGACTGCCCGGCTACGACCGAGTCGCCTGATCTCTGGGTGGTATTGGAGATTTGCGATGAGGCATTGAACATGGCGTAGCTGCGGGCCGAGTCACTGGGGCAGGTTGGGCGTGCTTCTGACGTCAACGAGGGACCGTTGATGTTCAGAGGTCGAACCTTGTTGTGTTGACGAAGACGCCGAAGGGGAGAAAGCCTCCTGCGTCCGGGAGATAAATATGTGTTTGTTTCCTGCAAAACTTCAGTGTTCAACACATTGGGAAATGAGGGGTGCTTCTCGTTCTGCTTTGGTTATTCTTGTATTTTTTTAGGGGGGGGAGGAGGGGTTCAGATTTGATTAAGACTCACCTGGCTTGAGGGCCTTGTAAGGGTGGCTTGAGATTCCGCTCATCCTTAGCGGAATCAATCTGGCGATGGACATATCCACTTGGGGACACCCGCTGGGAGCCAGTCATGGGCTGACCGGCATTCCGTGATCTTGGGCGGGTGTCACCTCCCCGTGGATTCTCGCTCCCGACACCAGCCGAGTGCGGACACCGTCCTCGGACGGTGGCAGAACGGGGACCGCAGTTGCCGTAGCGCTGCCCGCTGCCTCCCGCCGAGGGATCCGAGTCACACGCCTTTCTGAATGATCAATTACACAACATCCAAAAAATTACATCGCAATTTTTCAGCAAAAGGTTGGTCGGTTTTTGTCACTTTGAAGAAAAATGTTTTCACTGAAAAGCATTCAGATTTATCCTGCTTCATAAACTTTGTTTGAGCTAAGTGGTATTAAGTAGACAAAACTGTTAGTTTAAATTAAAAAGCGACATTGATCAGTATATTACCGATGGGTTTTATCAGTATATTACTGATGGATTTGTATTCCGTCCGTATGAGATTAAATATTTTCCTCCCCCTAAGAAAAATAAATCTCAGCAATGGTAAAGAATCCTTAAAAAAAAAAATTCCTGGATCCAAAACCAGATCCGGATCACTTCCAAAATCTAATCGATTTGTACTTGTACCAATGACCACCCCCCCCCCCAAAAAAACATTAAAATCCGTCCAGAACTATTTGAGTTATCTTGATAACAGAAAAACTAACCAACCAACCAACCACTGAACAAACTAACCAACGCCGATGAAAACAAGCTCCTCGGCGGAGGTAATTCTGTATTCCTTCAATATTGATTGGAATGGGGGGTCGTTATACAGTTCTCTTTTTATTTTTCACATTGGGAAATGAGGGGTGATTCTCTTTCTGCTTTTTTTAAAGGGGTTCAGATTTGAATAAGACTCACCTAGCTTGAGGGCCTTGTAAGGGTGGCTTGAGATTCCGCTCATCCTTAGCGGAATCAATCTGGCGATGGACATATCCACTTGGGGACACCAACCGGGAGCCAGTCATGGGCTGCCCAGCATGCCGTGATCTTGGGCGGGTGTCACCTCCATGTGGATTCCCGCTCCCGACACGAGCCGAGTGCGGACACCGTCCTCGGACGGTGGCAGAACCGTAGGGACCGCAGGTGCCGTAGCGCTGTTTGCCGTCTGCCGTCATGGGATTCGAGTCACACGCCTTTCTGAATGATCAAATTTCACAACAAAATAATAACATCGCAATAATCAGCAAAAGGTCTGTCGCAGCAAAAGGTCTGTGTCACTTTCAAGAAACATTTTTATTGAAATGCATTCAGGTTTATCCTGCTTCAAACATGAACTTTGTTGGAATGAAGGGGACAGGTAGGTTTATATGATGGCTTAGTTTGAATTAAAAAGCGACCTTTATCAGTATAATTACTGCTGGGTTTGTATTATTCCGTAGGAATATGCCCACT